AGCTACATTATGCACTCGAGATGACATACCCATAAAGATAGGCCAGGTTCACAATCATCTTCCAGACCGAGCAGCAGTAGGATGCAAGAAGATTATGAACAATGTACGAACGAGAGTTAAAACCGAACTTCATCCACTACCAGCCCTCTATGATGAAGAAATATCCAAACTCCGAACTACTCCATGGGATGCCCAGAGTATAGAGATTGCCTCTAAACTTCCAACATTTGATGCCAAGAAGTCGTCATTCTATCGTAGCAAAAGAAGACACTACCGCCAATTCCGAACACCAGACCAGAGGTACAACTTGAAGGTAAATTTACCCAGACCACCAGTGGATTAAGTACAAGCAAATGATGGAGACAACGACAAAATACTGATATTCACAACTGACGAGAACCTAGTACATCTATGCTCTGCCGAGATGGTCTACTGCGATGGAACCTTTTATACAGCCCTACAGATGTTTGACAGTATCTTCACCATCCATGCTTTTGTTGGTACTGTTATGTTTCCACTTGTGTATTCATTACTGCTGAAGAGAGATACTAACACCTACAACAGATTATTCACGCTTCTGAAAGGCATTGCTGTTAGACCCAACCTGAACCTCTCACTGAGCACAGTTAGCCTTGATTTCGAATGTGCTTCCCATAATGCCGTCACTCAGACATATATCTATAATGTTAGTTATGTTTGTATTGATGACATTGCAAAAAGAATACTAGTATATAGCTAAATAAACATTATTAAATTAATTACTTGGCTTCCTTATTTTGTATATACAAGGTTCCATTTTGCCTTAGCTGACTCCTTCCTACCTGGTTTTGGCACTAAGGCGAAATGGGAATAATTTTTTACCATGAAATTGACAGCTAAGGCGAAATGGGAGTAAGCCGGATTTTTAACTTCATCACCAGCTACCTTTTGTGTTCACAAACACTTTGCCTAAGGGCTACTGGTCAAGAGTGCCAGCATGCATTGTATAGGATCTTTTGATGAAGAGGGGCTTAAGACAGAGCTCAATATAGAAAAAAGAGGTAATAACATATTTAGTATATTTTTCCTAGATAAACAGATTTTTGTCTAGATAATCCTTTGGTTAAAAGATAACAAGAATCTAGTCCTCATAGAAGCAGATAATTTAGACCTAACGGGAATTTACCAAACAAGGCTAGGTCTGGAGCAATCCTTTGGAGGAAGGAGTTGGGTTGGGATATTTAATCAAATCAGATATCAAATTTCCTAAGGAGCATTCTGGTATAAGGGGGTTATTATTTGTAAATTTCTAAATTTCTTGGGAACCCTTCTGACTTTTGATGAAGAATTTTATCAAATTACCTCCAGAGCACCCTGGGTAAATGGGAATGTCATTAAATTTCTAAATTTCTTTAGAACCCAACTAACTTTTGATTAGAAATAATTTTTTTCAAAAATTTTTGTCTTTTGTCTTTTGATTAGGAATTTATTTTATCAAATTTTCTCATTAGCATCCTCCGGCCGGGATTAAAGGGAATTAAATTTCATATAGAGGGAAGGTCAGTAGCATGGACAACCCCTTTGGAGTTGTATGTTTTGCCCAATAGGGGAAATAGAGTTAAATCTTTAATAAATCAAGATAAATTTCCTTCAGTTTATGTTAAATAAGGTATTTTCTTTTGATTATATATGGCATATCCATGTTTAGACATGCAATCAGATATCAAATATTTTTGCTAGAAGAAATGTAAAATGAAGCTAAGAATATTTGTGAGTATAATTCTGATGAACCTAAGCTTAGGATATTTGTGAGTATAATTCTGATGTACCTAAGCTTAGAATATTTGTGAGTATAATTCTGATGTACCTAAGCTTAGTATATTTGTGAGTATAATTCTGATGAACCTAAGCTTAGGACATTTGTGAGTATAATTCTGATAAACCTATGAACCTCCTTTTCTCTTACGTAGAGAGCTTTATGTAACCCAACTCTGGACATTGTCCATATAACAAGACATTGCTAATATTGATAGTGTTGAATTGTTTGACTGAATTATTAGGTTCCATTATAATTCACCAGTTACCACATTGATTACCTCATGTCTGACGTCAGTAATTCAATTATTATCAGGCTCTGTGTTTAAATCAGTATGTATTGACAATGAATTTGAAATTAGATGTTCTTTTGTTATCATTCGGTTAAGGCTCGATCCTAGTAATTGCATACACATTTTCTGAACGATATGCAGTGAAGACATCTAGCTATCAGTTAGCATGATATAACTGATGTACATGCGAGAATTTCTGCTGGTCACATCTGGGCATGATCAAATGAAGATATCATAGGATAGAGGAATGCAGAAAAAAGTTTCAAAACTGCATAAACTTCAAGCAAGTAAGGATAAAAGAACTATTATCGAATATTATACAAGCATCTGGCTGGTAATCCTTGTATATATGTAACCTCTGTATATTGATTACACTGTGTAGATGATGTTTGCCATTGTAGTGTGATAAAAGAATCTTTGTTCTTCACTACATTGATGAAATTTGTTGTGATATTATTGTCATCATATTGTGTGCCTTTAGTGGTAGTTGTGTCAGTTTTAGTTACAGTCAATGCATTTAACATAGAAAATAAATGCATAGATCGAATTTCCAGGTAAATTTGGGTAGTGCTAACTTTGAAATGTAACAGGCCTGTCACATATTGATGATTTAGACAGTGTATGTCAATATGTTCATCAGATAAGTCATGAGTTTTGTATAGCATGCTAGTATGTTGGCATTAGTCGTAATACTGCAAGTCCTTGATCAAATTATGCATGAACAAATCAATGGTAGTATCATACACATCAAGATAGTGTTTACCATGCTCATATATTTCAGCATATAATGGTAAGCAGATAAACAATGGTAGTATCGTTCCATATATATTTCACCTACAAGTAATGATGTATAAACAATGGTAGTTGTAGTGGAACGAGCGTATGCAATCATTCACACAATGATGACAATAAAGAGATTAAATAAAAAAAAAAAACTCACACAGACTTAACACATCAAGATAGTGTTTACCATGCCCAAAATATGTTTCTAACCTACAAGTAATGAATGGTAAGCAGATAAACAATGGTAGTATCATACACATCAAGATAGTGTTTACCATGCCCAAAATATATTTCTAACCTACAAGTAATGAATGGTAAGCAGATAAACAATGGTAGTATCATACACATCAAGATAGTGTTTACCATGCTCAAAATATATTTCTAACCTACAAGTAATGAATGGTAAGCAGATAAACAATGGTAGTATCATACATAGTGTGTGACAGCATTTTACTGATGAATAGGAACTTGTTGAAGGATACATGGTCCTTATTACTGAGTTTTACCATTATCTGGTCATAAGTATGCCAAAATGCAGTCACCTTCTGATCCATAGTCTTACCAAGGAATCCTTTCTCCCCCTTCACCTCATCATCTTTTTCCTCTATTAACACATAGCTGGTACAATAACAAATCAATAACGTCATTATAATGTTGAAGGACAGCTATTAGGTATTCTTATGTCAGTCTTGATAACTCCTCCATCTCTCTGATAACATGGACTATTGACAGGACCCTTTTGTGATCCCCATTTTATGTACCAATTCCCTTAAATGTTGGCAATATGTAATCATACAGCAGTTGTAGACAGGAAATATGTACAGCAAATCCATGTGATCATCCAGCATGTTCCCAAAATTGGAGAAAAAGGCATAGATAGTTCAGAGTACACCAACGTTTTAGAGAATTATGACAAATTTATTGCATGTTGGAGTAACTTCTTCAGATCATAAAATTTAGACAGGGCTCTAAGTTGGAACTCCCTGTTACTAATTTGAAATCTTCTGAAGAACATGTGTTTATATAGATCTGTAAACTCTTGTTTCAGTGAAGGTGTCTTATCCAATGTCAAATTTTTAAAATATCTTTATCTATAATTACTGAATAGATGCCAGTCAAATGTGGTTTGAAGCATTTTTGGCCGATGATAGCCATAATTTTGGGGACATGATCTATGGGTTATGAAATGGAAGTGGTTAAGATCAATCAGGACCAATTTTACTCTTATACACTTTCTTACTGGACATGAAGAGACCAGAAAATTGAGAAACTGGGATCAGCCCTGGTCCAGAGGACTTAATCCATGAGTCATTACATGTAAACAGTTGTGATCCCTACCCTATAACAATATACCATCTATACAGGAACAGACAAACATAGTTTTTGCTGCTCTTGTTATGGTTGCTCTCTGCCTGTGGAAGAATTAACTCTTAGATGGTAACAATGGAACTGTTGATATCCCCAACCCTATTCTTAATAAGGACAAAAAGAGAAAATCATGCATGTTTAATTATCCATGATATTTTGATGTGATCTTTGTGACAAATAATAAGTCACGACTACTATAATAAAAAAAAAACATACCTGACCACAAAAAGAAAGTAGTTAAGTCATACAGGCCCATTAGGCTTCTCGTTGACCCTGTTATGATAGAATAAAAGTTCTTATAACACAACCAGTAGAAGATTTGAGTGTGACATTTTGATGACTACACGGTTACCTTCATAAGAACTTCTATTCTATTGACATTACCAACCTGAAGAAAATGTTCCAAAATGGCCTTGTTATAATCTTCTGCTTTTCTTGTGTCACTTGCCTTTATTCAACAGGTCTAGAATAATTTGTAGTTCTCTAAACCAACACAAAAAACTACTATCTATCAAATGTTTTTGTACACCAATAGTCACAAGAAAGTAATAGAGTGGAATGAAAGTCAATTTGTCACATGCAAAATCAGCAAATTCAGTTTTTGCAGTTGAAACAACTTTCTTGGCAGTTCCATGCATGTCTTTGTTGATAAAGTTCTTTGGTATTTTGGTTATATTTTGTAGCTGGTCTGGAGAGATCAGGGTTATTGAGAATATATTTTTGTTTGATTACATAATTATTGTTTCTGTTTATATTTGGCAGGTGGACCAGGGAGCAGAAAAGGAAAGATCCTCAGTGATTTGTCACAAATTTTTGGATTTGAAATATTGAATGCAGAATCCATTTTATTGGAAGGTCTCAAGGAAGAGCTAGAACCAGAAGAACCAAAGACATTTGCCAGTGTTTATAAAATGATCAAGGTAAGGATTTAGATTGATATAATTTTAGGACAAACCTGAAGTATAAAAATAGTAAACTCAGTAAACTCGAATTTAATTCATATTTGTTGAAAGCTCTCTTAATCTTGATTGTTTTGATAGCTCTAATAATCTTTATTGTTTTTGAAAGATCTCTTAATCTTTATTGTTTTGAAAGCTCTTTTAATCTTAATATTTAGCTACTTGTCCATCATCATCTGTGGTCCATCAATTTTTTATTCAAAATTGTTCCTTATCATGAACAACTGAACAGATGTTGACCAAATTTAGTAAAAAGCATCTTGGGGATAGGGAAACCAAATATTGGTTTTCGGCTCCCAAGGATCTGAGATGTGGGGTCCAAAAGGTGATATTTAGCAAGTTCTTTGATTCCTCCTTCTGTAGAAATAAGTGGATTTTTCTAAAATTTGGTCTGAAGCGTTTTTGGGCGACGGGGAATCAGTTGTGTATAAATGGTCTATCTTGATCCACTGGGATCAGAGGGGGCCCTATAGGGGGAATGGAGCAAATTCCTTAAAATCCTACCCCTACTGTAGAAATATCAGGATTCTGTCCCAGTTTGATCAGAAGCATCTTGGGTCAATGGAGTCTATTTTTTTAAAAATGGTGGGTCTGGGCCCTCTTAGGCAGTTATGGCGAGACCAAGTAACAGAAGTAGAGGGAATTCTCTAAAATCCTTCTTTAGTGGGTATGTTTTGATTCTGTCTAGATTTGGCCTGAAGCATACCTAGTTGAAAGGTACCTCATTTTGTATCAACCATGAGTCTGACATCATAGCTGTTCGGTTCAATAAGGAAAATGCAAGTTCTTAAAAATCCTTCCTTTGTACAAGGATAGTGTGGTCTGAAGCAATTTTTAATGAATGGTGAATCTGACTTCATTTTTGACCACAACACAAGTTATGTATTTCTGAAATTTTTGGTCACATTTGAAAGTTTTTGTAAAGGACTGAATAGCTAATTTAGCCATGTGAGTGATGCAGGCCCCTTGGGTCTCTTGTTATCAGCTGCTATGACATCTGTATCCATCCTGGGTGAGAAACTTAGCTGGACTAAGTAATTTTTTCACAAAAAATTCCCAATTACACACATCATATTTCTGTGAAAGGAATAGAACTTGAAGTAGTTGATGCTGTCATTTGATGAAATAGATTTGTACAAGGTCAGTAAACTCAAGGGGATCCGTAATGATTCTATAAAAAGGGTATATTCATCAGTGAGAATTTTATGATCAAGGGAGGCAACTGAAACAAACCATTTTTATTTGAACTAGAGGCATAGTAAGGTATTTGTTTAAAATGCCTCAAGTTGATCTTCTTTCTCTCAAGGTTTTAGAGCTCCAGAACCTGAAATATATATATATATGATTTTCCCAACACATTTTTCATATCATGATTTTCATATACTGTTTACTGTTAATTGGACTTTGTTAATTAATAAGACAATGTTAATATTTTCTGAATATTTTCTGTTATTTAATTAGACGATGTTAATATTTTCTGTTATTTAATTAGACAATGTTAATATTTTCTGTTAATGTTAATATTTTCTGTTATTTAATTAGACAATGTTAATATTTTCTGTTATTTAATTAGACAATGTTGATATTTTCTGTTATTTAATTAGACAATGTTAATATTTTCTGTTATTTAATTAGACAATGTTAATATTTTCTGTTATTTAATTAGACAATGTTGATATTTTCTGTTATTTAATTAGACAATGTTAATATTTTCTGTTATTTAATTAGACAATGTTGATATTTTTTGTTATGCTCCGTGTTGAACTTGATTTCTTTCTATGTATTTGGGCTATCATAACCAAACTAGGAATTTATTTATATCTATATAGGATCATCCCAATACATATTTCAGATACTGGTTTTCACTTACAGTTAAATATTACTTGGACTTTGAATTAATTTTGCCATGTGACGTTCAAGTTATCTGTAGCTTTGTACTAAGCTTAACTTCTCTCCAAGTACTAATTAAGCCGTCATAAACATACCTGGAATATACTTAAATGGCCATCCCACCACATATTTCAGATTCTGAATTTCACCTACGGTTTACCGTTATATGAATTTGTTGATTAACTTTGCCATGTTGAAATTTTTCTATTTAGCTCTACATTAAGCGTAAATTCTCTCTTTGTATATTCTTGTTGAATCCTGATGATATGATGAAGTGGGATATGTGAGAAATACCTTGGTATAATTGTGTGTAATTCTTGTTTTCATATATCTGAGGATATTTTTTGATAACTTTACAATCACAAAAATACCTGCAATGTAAGTGCGTCTGTTCTGAAGGTTTTCATTCTTATCTTTTGATTGCGATGCCTGGTACATTGTATTCTGAAATTTATAAATAACCAACAGGATGAATCACATACAGAACCGATACTTTGTTAAATCTTAATTAATAAGACTACACGATGCTGTGGGGATCATTATATTGACCAGTAGCATTGTGTTTGAATAAATAACATTGATTATTTGTCAAGGTGACAGGGGTGTATTGAAAGAAAAATGTCTTCATAAATTCTTCAATATTTTCATCTTCTAAAGGTCTAGGGGTTACATTATTTGTGTTGTGTTTAAATCAATATCCAATGTACATGTATATCGAAATAGAAGGTTGGAAACTTGCCATGTACAAGTAATAGAAAGGAATAATGGAAAACGATCAGCCTCTAACGTCATCTTGCTCTTGACTTGTGCTCTTGTTCTTCAGGCAAATCCTGAATTGGTCAGACTGGATAGATGTTTGAAAAGGGTTACAAAGATATTGGATGAGGCAGACAAATCAAAGTGTTACCTGTTGGATCTGATACCTAATAAAAAGATACTGTTATCCTCGAATCTGTTCATTAAGGACTGTAACAATGAGTTTAAGTACTTTGAAACCAAGGTAAGTCATACAAAGTTTAAAGTTTTTTTTCCTTGACTTGCTCTAAGGGCTTGAATAATGTTTGTTCCATAGCACTATGTAGAAATGAGAATCATCAACAGCTGTTTACAGCGTTTACCTTAAACTATTGTTCAAGCATCTGTCATAGATGTACACCATCTCCACTGCAGAAATATTCCCAATACAAATACTTGTAACAGCATGCAACCAAGTGATTACCAGTCATATTTATAGAAGACAAAATTTTCTTGCGAGAGTGAGGCCAGGAAAAGTCTTTGTTTGATTTGGATAATTTTAAGCCATCCTGTCAGAAGGGCAAATTAGCTGATGCCCTGGTTGTGATGTCAGTTCATCATCCATCTGTTGCCTGTCTGTCGCTTATCCGTTTGTGCCAAAGGGTATAGGACCTGCATCATATTGTGATAGAGGGCTAATAAGGCCCTTAGAATGAATGACCTTGATCCACTTTCAAGGTAACAGGGGTCAAAGGTATTTGTGTAGTTGCCTGCTTGAAGAATAGCATTTCAAGTTTGCAGAAATTGGCCTTATGAACTGACAAAGTCATCTGTGTAAGCTACAAATGTGCCATAGGTTTTTGTAGAATGTGGGGAACATTACCAATTGTTGAAAAAGGGAAAGTTATGGACCAATGTTGTTAATTGAGAAATTTTTTTATAGCTCTTCTGGTCAGAATTTAAAAAACGGATAGAGTTAAAATATACGACATACATGAAGATTACATGAATAAGATATGGCAATGTTAAGGTGGGATTGATATTTCATTTTCATCATTTGCAAGTTTTGAAAATATCTTCAGTAAAAATATAGGAATTAACTCCGTTTGGGGGAAAGTTTTCTGTTTTGGGGAAATTTCGCCATGTTTTTCAGTATATTTTTCTTGTTGGAGAATTTGTTTATGTTCAGTATGGAAAATTTAACATATCACTTGGGGAATACTACCCTTTTTCTGGTGTTAAAATTTGTCTTAATTAATCCCTATTTGCAATCAGGGCCCTTGGGTCACTTGTTTATAGATTCTTCAGATTAGATTCAGATCTATTAGCAAACATTTGCTACCTGTTCTACCTCTTATTTTCACAGAGTTATATGACTGCCTTTACAAGACCCCTTCAAAATGAATATATAAATGATACATGACATATTCAATGTCACTACCAGACCTCAAAAATATATCTGCCCATCTGATTGATTTAAGAATCTTGGGTTTAATTCAAAATAGTCTGAATAATACATCTCCGTACCATATACATGTTTGAATTTGTTGTGTGCAGTATTCATTCTCCTGTGCCTTACATTTGGCGATGCCGGTGGATAAAGTCATGAAGAAATACTTGAAACAATGTGCAATGAAGCAAGACATAGAAGCAAAGACTACCACAGGCAAGGAAGCTGATCCAAACAAAGCACAGCCGACAGGTGGTCAGAGTGATGAAGTCAGCTTTGTTAGAACAAAGGTAGGTACTGCACGTGGCAAGGTGACGTATTATGTCTGTTGGTTCATTTGGCTGGATGTGACAACTGATGTCTGTTAGTTCATTTGAGTGGGTGTGACATCCAATGTCTGTAAGTTCATTTGAGTGGGTGTGACATCCAATTAGTTTAATTGGCAGGGTGTAACATCTCACATTTATTAGTTCTTTTGGAATGGTGTGATATGTCAAATGACTTGATGTGGTTCTTTTATTTGTGGGACCCTGTATGTATTTGATGTATGGTTTATAAAAGGGACCCCCAATGGTGTAGATTGTGGGGCCCTAATTTAAGTAAAGCATTCAATGAACAGTATCTCAAGGTCCTCGACAATTTTGAGAGGTATAGGATAAGAAGAAAACTGCTGATATGTATTACATCACTTTTGGACAAAGTGGTTCAAAGAGCATTGGCTCTGAACCTTTGTCTGTCACCAGTTTAGGTCTCCCAAGAGATTTTACCAGGTACCATTGGATTCCCACAGCGGAGTGTAATTTTACTAACTCAATCCCATGAAATTAATTAATGTAGTCTTTGGAAAAAAAAAGGAAAAAAATCACCTTACTTCCTCCCCATGTTTCAAATTCTTGGTCAGAAAAATTTCAGTTCTTCCAGACCAAAGCTCTGCAATTGTTCCTAATAACTACTCAGAATTTTGAACAGTTATTATAAGCTTGATAAAATAAAAAGGAAACTCAACAACATGAAGACTTTGTGATGAAATTGTCTACATGTCTTGGCCGCGATGCGCCGTCATCAGGACAAAATTTTATTGTGAAAAAACATCTAAGGTATGAACGTGCGGTACATTATGACATCATAATAAAGTTGATGTGCAACAACTACTATAGTTAAAACATTCTTATTCATTATCTAGAAGATCCCATACACACTTTGTACACTGATTGTTAGGTTTTTTTGAAGGGTGATCAGAAGTTCATCCTGTACATCTGTGGAATCGCTATTGAAGCTCTCATTCATGGATGATGTTTGGCATTTGTTTACATATAGGTGGTCACTGTAGATGTTCAAGTAAGCGCTTTCATCTTCCCAGTCAGAGAGATATAAATCTTCTGCTAATGTGTTTATACAAATAGGTTCCCATTTAATATGCTTCTTTGGGTTGATTTTAGCTGATACTATTCTAAATTTGACAAAATCAAAGTTTGTACGACTGGTGGATTCAATTGGTGGGGTCTAGGTAACAGCGATTTGGGCTGCCTCCTTAGGGGTACGGTATTGTATTTTGTGTAGGGTTGTTTCATCTGCAGGTTCAGTAGGGTGAGTAGATTTGATTTTTTTCTTGGCTACATCCATCCTGCAGTACATTTGAGACAAACTTGGCATTCATATTTGCTGTTGAACAGGCTGTGTTTAAGTTGTATGTGCTGTTTCAGGGCAGTGACTGTATTACCCTTGGTACTGTATTTCATATAGTTGATGTGTTTATTGGGTTTTATCTTCATAGGTATATCTGTATCAATCTTTTTACCTGGCAATATGTTTAATTCTGGCCTTTATTGAAGATTAAGACTGTCCGGTGTTTTGGTGAATTTGATGGTCTGATGGAATTCGTTGAGATGGCCTATGAAGGATAAAAGTTCTTCATGTGAGTGCGTCCAGATCATAAAGATGTCATCTATGAACTGCCACCATACTATTTATTATAGTTATTAAGCATGTACTTTTGCAGTGCCTTTTGCTATGGAAAAGGTCTCCATTTAAATACTTTCTCTGTTACCATGAAAACTGATGGGTCAAGTTACAAATTTCAGTTGTATAGACTCCAAAAACATTTATGATAAATACAGCATTCTCATAGTGCCTTTTGCTATGGAAGAGTTTTTACTGTTCATAATTTTGTGTGTTACCATGCAAACAGGCAAAAAATATTTGTGTCTTGATAAAGGGGCAGGTTACCTAAAAAATTTGACAATTCATTTGTCTGCCCTGTCCTTATTACTTCATTGATCATATATCTATTCCAGTAATATGTATCCAACAAACATTTGTTTGTTTGGACCAGGTACCAATATTGGACTATACCGTCTATATTACTAGATTCTATATATATATATACCGATATGTGTTTGTTTGTTTGTTAAAACTTGGCATGGAGGATAATACCTTGTTTTCTTTGGTTTTCAGACCAGAGCTTCAAATTTTGACAATGCAATCAAGGGGTTTGTTGAGTACTTCAAGTCATCAGAAAGACTGGTATATGTGGATATCCATGACAAGGAGTTAGACGACATTCTATCAAACCTGTGTAACTTCTTTGCTGACCACAGCTATTCAGTACTAGGAAATTCCAGAACTCTCATGCTCTTCAATTTCAGTATGTGTCTGAAATCTCTTGCTTCTATCTCAAAATTTGCAATGTGAAATAACATACTACGTTTTCTTCAATGCTTGTAAGCTTTATTCCCACGATTATCTGATGAACATAGGATGTTCAAATTGCCTTTTCTCTGCAGTCTGTCATCTGTCCTTTTTGTTGCTATTTCTCGAAAAAAAGTACAGAAGGGATAATTTTTGAATTTTATAAGTAGGTTCCCTTTGGTCGTTTAGGATTTTGTAAACCTGATTTCAGGACTGATAATTTTGACAGTAAAAGTTAGATAGCTGAACTTGTCCAAAGGACCAGTGAGCTTATGCCATAACCATAGCTGTTGTCTAGAGTCTGTCTGTCTACTTTTCAGATTACATGAAGTTAGGTGACCTATTGCAGTCACCTTTAGTCATTAGTCGCATTCTTTTAACTTTTTTCGACTTTTTTGGAAAATCCTTCAACCAATATCAATGAAATTTTGAAGAAAACTTCCATGGGTATATTTTACGAGAACCTGCGTTCTCTGTGTATTTAGGTCAGATGACAATTAAGGCCCATGAGCCTCTTGTTCTCGGAAAGCATTGGAGGATTTAGCTAAAACCATCTTAGATTTTGAGAGGGTAGTTTTCTAATTGTTAATTCACTTTTCAATAAGACATATTATAGTTCAGAGCAAATTGGAGGAGGAAGAAAAAAGAAGGGAAAATATTTAAGTGATAAAGAAGTAATGAAGATCGTGTAGTGGTGGGTTTTAAGATCCTTTTCTCATACTCTTGTTCAGGTTTCAAACCAAGTGTCCATTAATTGTATGTTTTTAATAAAGAAAAAGATACTTGTGTAAGGAACTAATAATTTAATTGATATTTGTTTTTTAAGAAAACTTTACACATAAAAAATTCATTACTTTTTCAGGTAAACATGATGTTGATGTTGATGGCGTGCTGATGGGTGCAACTATTGGAGTTGAAACTCTTAACATGGATGAGTTTTGTACAATGGACCAAAAGCCAGTGAGTTATTTTGTTAATGATGGTTGAATCACTGTAACACTTACAAATGCTAACAAATTTTTTTCAGTTGTAATAGTTCATGTCATGGATATGTTTTTTTCCCTACAGGAAGAAGCAATGTCTACTTTGTGTCGAGAGATGGAAGTCATCAACCAAACTAATCCTGGATCTACAGCTTTTATTATAAATACCTCTGGATCCCCTATAACCAAAACCTGTCACAATGTGGTAAGTGATGAGGAGAAAATCCAAATAGAAAAAAAAAAAAATTGATGTCATTTTGGTAAGCAGTATGTTCAAACTAAAGCCAATTCCATAGGCTTTATATTACATATTTGCTAGAATTTTTAACTCCCATGATCTGAAGGGTCAAGTGTGTTTATGTTGTGTTGCAGTGTCCATTGTCCTTTTTTGTCTCTTTGACCGTTGTCCATCATATTTCTGGGTTCAACTTTTCGGTTGTAGTGCTCCATGTGTTCATTTTTTCCACATTTTTTAATATTTTTTTTTTTTTAAATAGTAGACTAATCATATTTTGCCACAAGCATCCCTGGGGCATTGCAGGTCAATATCTTTTGTTGTTGTGAAGTTCTTCATAGCTGTCCTTTGTCTAGATGTCCCTTTGGGTAATGTGAAGTTTAGTTATTTTGACACTGATAAGCGAAACAAAAAGGCAGACAGACAGGCATAACAGATTTCGACAGTTAAGGTTTCTTATTGGCGTTTCTGGAGAGGTACTTGAAGCATATTTCTCCAACTTGATCTGTAGGTTCCCCGATGTCCTAAGTTGTGGGTAGATATCACCTTTGTGTTTCCACACATATCACCTTTGTGTCTCCTCAGATATCACCTTTGTGTTTCCACACATATCACCTTTGTGTCTCAACACATATCACCTTTGTGTTTCCACACATATCACCTTTGTGTCTCCACAGATATCACCTTTGTGTTTCCACAGATATCACCTTTGTGTCTCCTCAGATATCACTTTGTGTTTCCACACATATCACCTTTGTGTCTCCTCAGATGTAAATTATGTATATCCTAGATAAAACCTATGTTTCTCCTGATCTGGTTCCAATGTACCTCTTCAGGTGTCCTCTATTTTCAGGTTTGAGTTACATGTTGCTGAGTTTAATCCATTGCTACATTGTTGTTACAGGCACCTGAAAAGGAGGTTATGTTCAAAGATAGTGTAGACGCTGAAGTGACCTGCTTCCTGCCTCTCTCCATCTCCCACAACAAGGCTACTCTAAATGTCCAAGCTGTGGTTTTCAGTACTCATGTGCTGCTTTTCTCTAGAGATGTACCTATAGGCCTCTGTCGCTGGATTTTAATGCAACTAAAACACAATAGGAAAAATTAGTCTCAAAATACACTGCTAAAATTTCATATTCTTATGAGTTTTTTTATACATGGCTAAATATAGGTGCTAGCTTGAAGAGCGGTTGGTTTGTTGATTGCCAAAATAGTCTTTGTAAATTTTAAGAATTCTTTTATTCTAAGAATGTTTGAAATAGAAAAAGTAGATGAAAAAATACACAAGAATGCTTTGAATAATATGTTTGAGGAGGTAATATCTACTCAATGTTTCATTGTTTTGTCTTACAGAATATGATAGTTTATTCTGGGATTGTTTTGTTTACAGTAAATAACTGAACATTTGTTTTTACCCACTTGGCATTTCCTTGCTGAACTGTAAAATCAAAGATAAAAGTTTTAACACAATTATATGCTGGTAGGTAAGAGAAACCCTATGTAACAGATACTACAGAGGTAATTTATACTGTCATATATCAAATAACCTGCACATTGTTATCAGAGTTACTGATGGTTCTTTAAGCATATTTCTTCCTGATGTACATTTCAAGAAATGCAAGATAATTTACATATGTAAATACCGGTATAAATTTCTGTTGGTTGTCAGCAAGTCTGGAGGTCAAAGGTCAGTGTCACAGAAACTTTAATAGAAAATTAGATTTTGCACAATAATTTCAGTACCACTTAACAAACTGTTCTCAAATTTCATATAGTGCTTAGAAGTGTTTGCATGCTATTGCTTTTCATATTAAAAGTGTTAAGGTCAAGTTCGTGTATTATAAATGGAGAAGGGTTTCCTTATAAGATAAGACAGGTCATGTTATGAACTCCCAATTTCATGCTTTAGTTCCTAATAAATGTGCTTTTTTAATTCTGAAGGTCAAAGATCAAGGTTTTTTTCAATACAAAAGAGGTTTTAACAAACAAAACTATTTGTTTGGATGTTTTCTCTAATAACAAGGACAGGAATAATTTTAAAGTCGCCGGTACTAAATTAGAAATTGGTCTCCACATAAGAACTGCATCTGAAAAGTTTGATCAGCATCAAAATGAATACAGTTCTACATTCCACAAAATGCATGCTTAAGATTGCTTTTCCTCATGGCCAAATTAAACTTGCTTGGACATATAGGCGATACCTACACTTTTGTGAAATTCTGGTATGGTTTGTTATGTTCTGATTTACTTTGTCATATTGTTTGAAAATTAATTGTTTTCCTGTCCTGGCCTTTTCTATTCATGAATGACGTATATTTGATAATATAGATTGTATAAACCCATAGCTTTAATGTTCCCCCTCCAGTCTTTAATCTTATTCAATATCTTAGTATTGTTACTGGTGCTTTTATTTGATTCTTTTCATTGTTATGAATTCACAACTTGTAATCATTAAAAAAATGCAAAGGCAAAAGTTTTGATGATTATAAAGTAAATCCAATTGAATTATTGTGTGCTAGTTCTGAATGAGAGTGACCCTTTGTGCGATTGTATCTGAGATAAGTTGACCAATGATCTTGGTCATATTTCATATTGATAAACTACAATTATGTTTGACACAGAAACATTCCACGTACAATATACATGATGGCACTTGATCTTATTGATGTGTCACACATACAGTATATTACATGTGTATAGTGTCAATTGCATCCACTATTATGTTGTTTTTTAATACAGCTTTACTTGATGCTTGTACAGTGGTGGCATACAAAAACATGTCAAGAATATATCAGTAGATAACATGTATAAATTTGGTGTTAAATCTTTCTTATTTTCATACAGAGTACAGAATGTCCCTTATTTAGGGCATATACTTTCATTAGAGTTCAGTATGACCCTTATATAAGGCAAATACTTTCATATTGAATTCAGTATGACCCTCACTGAATTACATATTGTGCCTGTAATATAGTTAGGGGATTATATAAATATGAAGCAAAGTAACAGATATTTAACCAGGATTGAATGAAACATCTTAATGATCTCTGAAGATTTCTGAAAATCAAAATATATCTCCGTGGTGAATACCTTGCTAAACATGTTTACCCTGGTCATGTTGATCTGAATATTTCATAAAAATTGCCCATGGCTATTTCTGATTTGTTTTCATACCTGCATAAACATTACTTTGTGATATACCAATACATCAGTCTTACATTTTAGTGTATGAAAGTTTGCTTTTCTTAAAATCATCATACATTACAAAAGTATTACATGTTTGACATACTAGTAGATTTTATTTAAATTTCACTCTTGATCTTTAAGCTTATTGCTCCATAAACACAATATTCTGGCAACATTTAACCAGTTGCACAATCATTGGTTTATTTTAGTATCTGCCTTTCCCATATAATTTTATCAATCATATAATTCCTTTCCATATCTAGATGTCAAAACCCAATAATAATCCTTTGTTTGGGAGAATATGAACAACTCCGTCCTTTGTTATTTATTAAATGCATTTTATTTATAGATATTATTGTCTTAGATTCTGGATGAACACCAGATCTTGTCAGTTACATTGTTTTTTTTTCTTTTACACTCTGTTTTGCTATTTCATAAGGGTTAAAGAGCTTCATACTGATAATTGAAGCTGTTTATAGTTTTAGAATATAATTGAATCTGTTTCATTGTTCACATTGTTTTGATCTGTTTTCAATAAAATCTGTAGAGAAGTTGAAAATTGTTGACTTTTTCTCTTACATTAATATTTGGTTTTAATGAATATAAGCTCAAGATTTGTTTCAGTTTCGTATCCATACTTCAATGTTGATTTTGGTCCACATCAATTAATATCTTAACACCCTAGTGCCACAACCCACATTCTTGGAATACGTGTATATGAAGTTTAGGAAAATATTTGGCTTATATTAACACAAAATATCTTACTTGACCAACACGTAATGTATGTGTAATTGGAGCCGTATCAATGTTATGATGAGCATAGTAGCATATAGCCTAATCACAAGTATAATGAGTGAGGTAGCATATAGCCTTAACACAAATCACAAGTATAATGTGTGAGGTAGCATATAGCCTTAACACAAATTTCAAGTATATTGTGTATAGTGGCATATAGTCTTGATTGATAACACAAATCAGAGGTATATGGTGTATTAATGTCATGTGAGATGGCATTTCAAAGTAAACTACTATGTTCTATCCCCAGGTTGAATAGTGAATTTCAGGTAATGAACTCAACAATTTAATTCAGGAACTTGCAGTAAATGATTGCAGTTGGATTAGACGAACAGTGAAGGCCTTGTAATTTGTTCAGGTTTTTACATCAGAAGAAAGAAATTTGAATTGTTTATGGTTGCATGACAAAGAACAGCAAAGTACTCAAAACTTGGTCTCGAGTAATAACAAGTCGGAACACCAGACTACATAAAATATACATGTTTATTATTCCTGTATCATGTAGAACTAACATTAAAGTACTGGCATTGCACATTTTACAGATCCAATAAAAACAATGATTCATCTAAAATAGTATTGTCAGCTGACAACACTCATTATCATGTTAAATGGATGTTCTTCATCAATATAAAACTTTAAAATTAATCCAAAGGTTTAGGAAATTCCTTGTAGTCCTATCTTGAAGATAAAACTGACAGTACAAGTTGATAGATAATCTGTAACATTGTATGATAACACTGTCTATGGGGATTAGGTACAGCGATTACACACTATTTGCATACTTGTACGAAATTAAACATACAGAGCTACCAAACCCTTGTCAATATCTTAATAATCATTTAACAAAACCAAAATGAAAGTTATTTTAAATTCTAATACTTAAGGATATCTTTACAAAATTATGTAGATGAAAAATATATGAGAACAAGTTTGCAACTTTTATGAAATTTTCAAAAAGTAAATATGAAAAAGTTACTTTGTGTAAAGTATACTTATTAGATTTTGTGAATGGAAAATATCTCCCACATTTTAACCTCTAGTAATGATCACTATTCTACAACTACAACCTTCTATTATTAGAATTATTTTAATATACACAAGTTCTAGATGCAGATTTTCTTATTGTTTCGGACATTTGAAATAATCCTACGACATTTTTGACAGATAGATAATTCCAGGGGTAGTTAACTGTGCCCTTCAGAAGCAAAGACACAGATCTAACATCATGGCAGACAACAGTGCCCTCCAGGAGCTGGGACACAGATCAAACATCAAGGTAGATAAATGTGCCCTCCACAAGTAGGGACACAGATCTAACATCAAGGTAGATAAATGTGCCCTCCAGAAGTAAGGACCAAGATCTTATCTCAAAGTAGAAAACTGTGCCCTTCAGCAGTAGGGACACAGATCTAACATCAAGGTAGATAAATGTGCCCTCCAGAAGTAGGGACACAGATCTTACATCAAGGTAGAAAACTGTGCCCTTCAGAAGCAAGGACACGGATCTAACATCATGGCAGACAACAGTGCCCTCCACAAAAAGGGACACAAATCAAACATCATGGAGATAACTGTGCCCTCCAGAAGTAGGCACACAGATCTAACAAGGCACACCACATTGACCTCTTTAACAGTACAGATTTATATCCCTTGTGATGGGCTTACTCTTGGCTCTTCCAAGATCAGCAGCTATTTAAGGGCTTATCACTGATTAAACATTAGGTCCCAACCTATACCAGACATTTAAGATATTCAATGACATTTAGAAACACCTGCATGTCCACTTTAAAGCAGGTGTGAATGTTCCAAGAGAAACTTGTAGCTAGGGTAGCATAGCATCATAACTTCATGAACTTGGGCCTTGTGACATTTCATTACCAGAGAAGAAGCATAACTTCCTGGTTTTTTTCCTAACACGTAGGTTAACAAAGAGAAGTAAAGAAGAAGGACTTGTTTTAAGTCGTGGTTGTACACTGGAACTTAATTACTCCAATAACTTTAAAAAAACGTTTCAAACATATGAAAAATACTTAAGCATCTGGAAAGCCAGCATTTTGTAGTTCAGTCTGGTTTAGGGAGGTGTAATTATTCTATAAATATGTGTATCTAATTTCATAATGAAAATATATAGAATCCTGGTAACAATATTTTACATCTCTTGAAATCATACAACTTTACATCAAAATATTACATTATTATTACATATGTGTTTCCACAACCACAATCATCACATTTTTTGTTAATTTATACATTTCAAAATTTTTACAGCCTCAATATGCTATTTTGAATAAAAAGTGTCACAAATTTTCATATTGAAAAAATAAAGAAAAAGGTAAGAACATACCTTGTATGTCCAATTAATAAGAAAGAAAAAAAATCAATCAAAACAAAACAAAATAAAAATGAAAAGTTCCAAGGTTTGCCTCTCTAATTGGACAGAGTAACAAATCAAAACAAATGATGACAACATCCACTTTTGGTAAAGGCATTGCTGGTGAGGTCTTTTCATTGTGTACTGTGTGCAATTACTTTCTTAGTTTAGAGCACCCTATGCATCCTAGAAAAAGGTTTATCAAATTCCTTGATACCATCCCCCCATTGCAATACTTAACCACATGGCAGATTGATAAGAATTTGCTATATATCATCATAATTTTTGTTTCATTTTTAATCTTGAAGATTTTGTTTAACAAAAATGGTAATTTCCCCGAAAGACAGGACGTATGAGATCTTGCTTTCGTTTTGACTGTTTCAAGATTGATATTTGTATAGTTATATGAAGAGTTTTGGAAAATGAAAAACAAACTTATGGTAATGATTTAAAAAATCAATCAAATTGGAATAGAACTGTCGTACAATTTCAATAGGATTCATAATAGTATAATACCAGTACATAACTAAAATTTCAAAATGTCATTTCAAACATCAGTGTAAGTATACAATTAATACAATTACATGATCTAAGAAAACAAATTTTGTTTTCAATTTTATTTAATTGGAAGACAAGATTTAAACAGAAAATTTCCTGTTATATACAAAAGTTTTGTCACAACTGTTGAAGAAAACTCAGCTATGGTATTGTCAATACATACAATGTTAATATTGAAGTCTTTGAAAAGAAAAGAAAGAAATGGTCTGTTTTGTGGATTCTTATTTTTCAAGAAAAAGTATGAAATTTTCCTAGTTATCTGCATTATGAAAGGATAAAAAAAGATAAACAAACACAAAGTTTTACAAAAACAAATAAGGGTTTGTCAAAGAAGAGTAGCTAGAACGTATTTGACAGCGTTGAAAGTTACCCTAAGAGCACAGGAAGTGTTTTCCTCAGTACAAAATGACATCATTAGGAGACACACTAGTGTTATTACTCTCTAAGGCAATTCTGAGTAAATTTACAGGCAGGTTTTTCATAAGAAATAATAATTTTAAAAAAATGAGGATGGGTGACGATTTTTCTATGATACTTTAAGAAAAACAAAAAATGAAACTATACTATGATAAAATCATTTTCTGCAATATTATCTGTCCAGCAGATAAGGAAATCATAGCAGTATCATAGATTTAATCAGTAAATAATGAATCAAAATGAATTATTTCCAAGCCTACACCATGAATTTTACACATAATGCCTAAAAGCATGAACAAATCCATCATCTGGTATCAATTGCTGGGAAACCATGGTATTAGTAATCAATACAAGTTCTGATTCCCTACTATTCTGGTTACTTGTGAGCATGTAACAACAATGATGTCCACTTATCAACTGCATTCAAGTCTTGATTATTCAGCAAAAACATTCTGCATCTTAAAACATTTATATATGACGAAAATCTGGAGTAATTTACAGTACAAATTCTGTACTGAAATGCATTTAATATCATAATGTTTTTACTACTTTTTAAAGAATTAGTATACAAATGACCTGAATATAGTTTTAGTTAAATGTGAACTTTAATAAACATAAAAAGAAGTCTCTAATTAAATTATCTTCATCAAGCTTGAAGATCAAAATGCCATACAGAAAACTCAATAAACATAATTTTGATAAACATTATTATTGTGTTAATATTAATCAAATATTCAGGCATTCAATGCCCGATGATACTACCATACTATGATAACATGAGTGAGGAAATGAAAGCCTAAACAATCTGTCTTTATTACCTGGATGTAACCATCAATGACTATATGTTAAAGAATGTAGGTGTCAAGATATAAACAGCTGATGGTATGTGTACAGCCGTTACAGACTGTAGGTGTCGAGATACAAACAGCTGTAGATGATGGTATGTATACAGCCGTTACAGACTGTAGGTGTCGAGATACAAACAGCTGTAGATGATGGTATGTGTACAGCCATTACAGACTGTAGGTGTCGATATACAAACAGCTGTAGATGATGGTATGTATACAGCTGTTACAGACTGTAGGTGTTAGAGATATAAACAGATGATGGTATGTGTACAGCCATTACAGACTGTAGGTGTCGAGATACAAACAGCTGTAGATGATGGTATGTATACAGCTGTTACAGACTGTAGGTGTTAGAAATATAAACAGCTGATGGTATGTGTACAGCCGTAACAGACTGCAGGTGTTAGAGATATAAACAGCTGTAGATGATGGTATGTGTACAGCTGTTACAGACTGTAGGTGTCGAGATACAAACAGCTGTAGATGATGTTATGTGTACAGCTGTTACAGACTGTAGGTGTTGAGATATAAACAGCTGTAGATGATTGTTGTATACAGCCGTTATAGACTGTAGGTGATGAGATATAAACAGCTGTAGATGATGGTATGTGTACAGCCGTTACAGACTGCAGGTGTTGAGATATAAACACCTGTAGATGATGGTATGAATACAGCCGTTACAGACTGCAGGTGTTGAGATATAAACACCTGTAGATGATGGTATGTGTACAGCCGTTACAGACTGTAGGTGTTGAGATATAAACAGCTGTAATTGATGGTATGTATACAGCCGTTAAAGTGTTCAGAATGAATAAGACTGATTTATGTAATGAACAAATGAGACGGATCAACTCCAAACGTATCATTATGAACACTATGACAATCAAATGCATGAAATGTAAAATGTATAAAATATAACGTTATATAAAAAAAGCACTAACAATACCGCAATTGTCAGAGAATGGATAAAATGGTTCATGAACAATAAAACTACTCTAGTTTTACTGTAGTATAAGCTGTTGATTTCACTATATATATTCATTATACAGGAGTTTTATACACAACTGTGAACATATATACAGAATTTTCTGTACAATTCTCAGAAAAAACAACCAAATTAAGAACAGCTGAATGGCGGACACACTTCATACAGTTTGTGTAGTTGAGATGAGCATTTTAAACGAATGTCAAAGATTGATCGGTGACAACACACTCTGCCACAGAGATCTATGAGGCAACTGTGATAATAATAGTATTAATGATTTCAGACAACCCTAAAACAAAAGCCAAAAAGCCAGAATTCTTTTATAAAATTATTCCAACTGTAATCATCCATTTTTTCTGATGATTTTCCATAGAAATAAACGCATGGGAAGCCACATATCTGTAGATCAGACACTGTTCCATGAAGAGCATATGTAATGGTCATTTCCTTGGTAAATATTGTTTTCCTTTTGTATTTCCACCATCATGTACTCCATCATCCTACAGAATCTGTGACTGCGCTAACCTCCGACCTTTCCCTACTCTGCATAATTTATCACTGTTGTAAGGTAAGGTTCCCCTCCCCTGAGAACTTGCTAGCTTTTTGTAAGCTGAAACTTTGGCAAATAGATGATGATCACAAATGTTTGAAAAGCAAAGGCTTCTGCACTCAAGTGTTCACATTTTCACTAAGGGGGTATGTCACATAGTGTTAACCATAAGTGGGTGTGTCACATAATGTTCACAGATCAAGTGGGTGTGTCACACAGTCGAGGTTGGCACATCATCAAGGTCACTCTGCAACATGTTCTGTAGGACAAAATGGACAGAAAATAATTAACAATAAACCTCATGTTTCCAGGAACTCTTCTGCACATCAACAGGATCAAGATTATAAAACATTACTATAATTGGTAATACTATACAACTGATACTGATCTTATGAAGTCTGCCTCATGTGGTAACACTATTTCATTATTTCTGCTGCAAATATTTTCATCAGAAGAGTACAATGAAAACTATTTTTACTTTGTGGCAACAATATTTCATAGCAAAAGGTACTCAATTTTCAAGCTGTGTAAAGATGCAAAGTTTCCTAGCCTTGTTGCAATTTGAAATTAAAACTTTAAAAGTATATCTAAGAAAAAACATTTTAAAAAGAGATGATTATGCTCCTGTTCCTTCAGTGAAACAATCATACTATAAACACCAAAGTACAAATATCAAAATGAACACGTCTTAAAAATCTACATCCTAAAAAAATGATCAACCAACAAATGGAGAAACATTTCATTTGAAATATAAAAAAAATCAGATCATTGTTCTGACACTTGTTTAAAGAAAACTTTATTTTCTAGCTCTGTACTTACTGTTAATGAATTAATCTCTTTCGAGAAAGCACCAATTTCTTTTGCTGCCTTTTCTGCTTTCTGAAAACAGCAAACATATAATATATTATAGTAAACCTTGTAAATAAATTGTTTTTAGCTGAGAGTAACACAATCACAATGTCACATTAGGTTTCGAAATTTATTTGGTTACTGTCAACCTGTTTCACCCATTACCAGACTTCTTCAGGACAAATAACTTAATTTTTTCTACACCTAAAGTACACAAAATGCTGGCACCATATTTTATAAATAGTAAATACAGCAATATGGCAATACATGTATTACACTTTGTGCTTTGATAAATTAACTGAATGATGAAGTCAAAACAGCAAATGCTTTTGTTTGCTTACATTTGCCATATTGACTTTGTTTAATTATATGTTATGTTTGTTAGTTCTACACTTCAAAGTAATTTTTCTTGAATTTTTTAACAAAGATTGATTGTATTAATGCTTATCAGAATTGTGCTTGATTTAGACGAAAGTATACATATATATATTTCAATTTAAAACAAAAATTCTGAAATGATTAAGTTTTCTTTTTAATTATCATTCTATAATTTCAATTTCTTTTCAAAGATATCAATTTTTGAGATGAGATATAATCAGAAGACACAATATATCCAACATTAACAAAGACAAACTGAAGAACCTACCTCCTTATCTCTGCGTGTCATTCCATTTGAAAAGCCATTGTCCATTGGACAGATAAAGCTGTCTGCCTCAGCATCAGATTTGCTCCTTTTGTGACCAAACAAACCAAACTTCCTGTTCTGTAAAGCAAGTAATTCATCAGTGAGTAGCCTCCCTTGCCTCAAAACTTCTGTCACTAAATATGTCACAGAGTCAATAGTATTGAGAAAACTTTTGAGATGAAAATGAAGATAAGTGAGGAAGAACATGTTAACATTAACCACCCAAGGACTAAAATAGAACACTTCAATTTTTTGTGATTGTTTTTTTATCAATGTCTCACTTGACTGGGATATTACGAGTAACATTTTTGTGTGAATCAGTAATGTATGTCTCACCTTAACCTTAGCATTCAGCACCAGAGGTATGTAACCTGGCAGTGACTCTGCCTCTCTCTTCTTGATTTGTACCTCGTTACCAATCAGAGCTACAAAGTGAGTGTTGAGATGTCGCCTCAACAGTGTCTTATTTGTAGGGATGGACAATAACTGTGAAAACAACTCTGCATTGAACCGTGGTTCCAGTACCTGGGTAAGATCAAACAATGGACAATTAACACACTGCAGTAGTGTACTGTAGAGCAGAACAAATAATCCTTATCAAACAACATATACAGGGCTCTCATATGAAGGTAAACATTGAAATAATAAGAAACCGTTTTTTCTTATTCCAGAAAAGGATGACTTATGTTTCTGAAGATATTCTGGAAATAACACTGATAAAGATTCTAATAAAAAATTTACTTTACAATGGAAGATATTCTACAATCAACATAAACATATTTAGGTATATAGCTCGAATGATGATACAAAATGTATTGTAAAGTGAGAAATTCTTTCATTAATGCTTATTAAACCTCATCATTATCTATTGGATGAAGACACAGATATAAACTAACAAGTTTGTATAGTGTAACCTGTTTATCTAGTAAACTTGTACAAGAGTATGTTAGCCTGGTCTCGCTGTATACATAGATTCAACAAAGGAATTCCATTACTATGAAACATATGTGATCGAAATAAATTGGTCCTTAATTCTGTTGGATAGTTTACTCACCATTAGGGCACCATGTACGCCACTTCCCCGGAGATTGGGGGCATATTCGGACAGATCAATGGTACGTAACCATTCCATGACTCTGTGATTAGTCCATAATACCACACCACCTGGGATGTTCTGTAGCTGTCCCTAACATACAAAAACATTTCACTCAGTAATTCTTCTTCATGGCCAGTTTACGAACATCAATGTCAACAAACATGACTTTCAAGTCTAATTTGAATGCCTGTGATTAGAGGATAATCTACTGTGTTTAAAATTTGTGACAGTATTCATTAAGATTTAAACAAGCAGAAATGCAATAGTTAAGATATCCCCTCTCCCTCCACCTTTCAAAAAGTTTTCAATTGCTGAAATCCCATCAGTAACAAGCAAAATTTCATTACTCTCTCAGGTCAAGCTATCATTACTGAAATCATTTTCGTAATAGGCTGAGAATAATGTGTAACCACTCAAATGAATTAGAATCTGTATTGATCTACAGTCTTTGATAAACTGATCTCCTATCAACAATCCTAATACTACATTGAAGACCTTTATGGCTGAAAATGGGCTTGTCTGTATAAAGAATTCATCAATTTAACATATTCATATTTCCACCATTTTTAAAATTTATTTCTATTTGTATGATGATCTTGAGCAACAAAATTATTTTGACAATTGTTCACAGTTATTAACTGAATTATGGTCACTTGAGATGAAATAAAATGTAAATAGATAATGTGAGAGTCAATGCCACAGACACTGGGGGCTGTAAGAACATTTTAACAACTACCACAGACACTGAAAGTTATAATTTTAATGACATTTTAAGTCTACCTCATCAGGTGGGAGTCGCCGCCTCAGACACTGTGGGTTGTACTTTTAATAAAATTTAAATCTAACCCATCAGGTGAAGGTCACTGCCTCAGGCACTTGGAGTTGCATTGAATTTGAATCCTATCTTGTCTAGTATGGGTCTCCGCCTCCAACAATGAAGGTTGTACTGTATATTAGCATTTTAAGCCTACCTTGTCAGGTGAGGGTCTCCGTTTCAGACAATGAAGGTTGTACTGTGTATTAGCATTTTAAGCCTACCTTGTCAGGTGAGGGTCTCCGCCTCAGACGATGAAGGTTGTACTGTGTATTAGCATTTTAATCCTACCTCGTCAGGTGAGGGTCTCCGCCTCAGACACTTGGAGTTGCACTGAATTTGAATCCTACCTTGTCTAGTGAGGGTTGCTGCCTCAGACAATGAAGGTTGTACTGTATATTAGCATTTTAAGCCTACCTCGTTCGGTGAGGGTCTCCGCCTCAGACAATGAAGGTTGTACTGTATATTAACATTATAAGCCTACCTCGTCAGGTGAGGGTCTCCGCCTCAGACACTGGGGATTGTAGTTATTGGAGCGAAGGACCTGGATGCCCCTCTTGATGCTGATATGATGGAGCTCACTTGTCACCTTCAGAGCCAGCAGGTCCTCCTGTAACAAGGTTGTACCAGTGTTATGGTTGTTAAAGTCAAGACTGATAGGTACAGTACAAAACTACAAAATTTTAAACTTTAAATAAAGAATCTTGTGCAAATTGACCTGTCCACAGAAACAAGTTATTGAAAGAAGACTTTTGACATTTTATCCAACACAAAAAGAACTAGAGCTGTCGCCAAGGGGGTTACAATTTTCCTCCTCACCAAAGGAGGATAATTTTTCCAAAGAGAATCGCAATGCAAAAATATCTAAGGAGCATATCTCCATATGGAAGAGGCACTTCACACAGAATGTAAAACAAATGTATTGAAAAAGTGAATGCATAGCATCGGTTTATCTTTTCACATCAAGGGGAATAACTCAATTAGGAAGGGTTGAGATGCAAATTCACTTCAGTGGGTACAACTCAATATGAAAAAATCCGATCTAAAACTGAGTGAATGCATTTTTTACAGAAAAGTAATGTCACTCTCTTAAAAAGGATAAAAATTGGAAATCACTTCAGGGGGCACAAATCCACTTCACATGAAATGATAAGAAAATTCATTGAAAACTGAATGAAAGCATACTTTGACTAATTTTATCTATGCACAAACAGACTGACAAGCGGATTCCAGTATACCCCCTACCTCTTTTGCGGGGGTACAACAAAGCACTTTCTTGACCATATGGTCCATTTCATTTACAGTTGGATTTTTTTTTTAAACAGATTTTGATATATGTTTGTATACAGTATAAAATTTTGATAAAAAAAATGTTTATGATTTACATAAAGACTAAAAAAGGACTAAAATTGACACTTACCACTGTGAGGAAATGCAACATTCGTCCATCCACTCTGGCATCATAAAACACATCTTTGTACTGAGGGAGTCCAATGTCATCCAGCCAACCTAACACACACAAGTAAAATATAAAGTGATAAAACACATCCTTGTACTGAGGGAGTTCAATGTCGTCCAGCCAACCTAACACACACACACAAGTAAAATATAAAGTGATAAAACACATCCTTGTACTGAGGGAGTTCAATGTCGTCTAGCCAACCTAACACACACAAGTAAAATATAAAGTGATAAAACACATCCTTGTACTGAGGGAGTTCACTGTCATCCAGCAAACGGAAAACCTCTTCAACTTTCAACGGTAAAACCATTTTAATTACATTTCCCTCCTTTTTTGTCGAGGCCATGTGTGTGAGTTTAATTATGACCTAGTCTTTCAAAATCCCCAGCCCACTTATATAAGAAGACTGAGCTGATCCTTGGAGCCACCTACCCATGCCCTGTATAAAGAAAGTACCTCGTGACACAATTATAGACCGGAATACTGAGCTGATCCTTGGAGCCACCTACCCATGCTCTGTATAAAGAAAGTACCTTGTGACACAATTATAGACAGCAATGCTGAGCTGATCCTTGGAGCCACCTACCCATGCTCTGTATAAAGAAAGTACCCTGTGACACAATTATAGACCGGAATACTGAGCTGATCCTTGGAGCCACCTACCCATGCCCTGTATAAAGAAAGTACCCTGTGACACAATTATAGACAGCAATGCTGAACTGATCCTTGGAGCCACCTACCCATGCCCTGTATAAAGAAAGTACCCTGTGACACAATTATAGACAGCAAGGCTGAACTGATCCTTGGAGCCACCTACCCATGCCCTGTATAAAGAAAGTACCCTGTGACACAATTATAGACAGCAATGCTGAACTGATCCTTGGAGCCACCTACCCATGCCCTGTATAAAGAAAGTACCCTGTGACACAATTATAGACAGGAATGCTGAGCTGATCCTTGGAGCCACCTATTCATGCCCTGTAGGACGAAAACATACCTGTGATCCAATTATAGCTAGGGATATTGATATGAAATAGAAACCACCCACCCATACAATGCGGGACGACAAACTTCCCTGTGACCCAATTACAGCTAGTGATGCTGAACTGAACTTTGGACCTAGGAGCTACCTAGCAATGCCCTATAGGACAGAAAACTTACGTGTGACCCAGTTATGATCTAGGATGCTGAGTTGATCCTTTGAGTTGGCTGTAATAGCTTGAAGGGCTAACTGTAACTTCTTTCTGTGTAAACAGTTTTTCACTCCCATATCCTGTAAAATAAGTAAATAGTTATGTTTTCTCTCACCTTGCAGACATAGCCTTACAACATTTGGCAATAAAGTATCCATAACATTAGGTTTCACTACAGCTCAGTGCTGTACAAAGTATCAAACTGTTTACATGCATTTGATTTGTAACGGAAAAACTATATTAGAAGGAACCATTTGTTTCAATAGCTTATGTATCAAACATTACCAAAATGGCACTATCACTGTGTGTGATATATTCTTTGTGGGCCACAAGTTGGTACACCACCAGACTAATGTTACCTGAGGAAAAAGATCTGAGGTGTATATTTCTATCCCTACTCAGGGCTGAGAACATGTATTGTCCTGTGCTGTTGTGCTTGTGTCCATGTGCAAGACACTTTGCCCCATTTTCTCTGGATAGTATGCGATGTGTTCTTCAGTAAGGTAGCCACCAGCTATTAAAGGAGAACCTTGCATCAAAATAATCCGGCTGCTTACTGTACAAACAGAACGATTAATCTTATTCTGACTCAAAGCTTAGCTACACGATTTTACTTATGCAATACCTTTTCCAGTTCATGGGCACTGGCTCTCTGGAGTTGCTCCCCATTCTTCACCCATCGCCGACATTCCACCAGATACATGTTGAGACCAATGTCATTCATCCATGCAGTCACTCGCTCACTGTCCCACCGTGAGAAAGGCATGTCACTGTAAAACACAAAGGAAGAAGGTATAGGTATCATTACCTCTAATATACAACCTGACCTAACTAGGTATATGGGGAGACAACAATCCACTGCCATGTTACATCTTTTTTATTGATGATGACCTTGTTTCAATTTATTAAAACTTGTCCAAGATAGAGACAAAAGAAAAATACTTGTCAAGTATGAAAAAGTGTAATGAATTAGTTATTGGAAACACATAATTCAAATAAACCTTTATATTTTAAAAAAATTCAATTAAGATATTTTAATTGAAAGATAAATGTACAAAGTCCATTTAAAAAGAGACAAAAGAAAAACTATTCATGTACAATCCATTTAAATGTGATTACACATGTCTTATGATCTGTTTTAGAGGATACTAATTTCTGTTTACTACTTTAAGATTTTCAACACTTACTCGTTATATTTGAGTTCCTTTGACCATCCAATTCTCCCTGAAGCTGTTGCTCTCACTCCCCCTCTTCTAAACTGTTCCACTCTCTCTCTTTCATGGAAGTCTTGTGAACCACTCCGCTTAAGTCTGAGAAATAGCAAAAAAACATGACACAACTGTAGAGCTCGGAACAAAACAACAAAACATAAGCTTTAACTCTATTTTACAACCTCTCTGAGATACCTGAAGCACCTGTCACTGTCAATTATAGCCAGAAGGAAAATGTACTTATTTCTAATTAAATGGTATACATAACATTTTCTAATATGTACATCTGAACAAATTAGGTTATGAGTGGACATATTGTCTTCCAGTAAGCTAATACAGAAGAGTGTTGTCACCTTAATCTATCCATGATGACATCTTATATAATGCTACTAATATCCCTATTTTGATTAAAGTCACATGTTTAAGTATTCTAATGAGGATTAAGGTAGAAGAACCAATGCCATTCATATTAGTAGGTTAGGTTGTAGGATCCTTTACTCTTCAGCTGGATACCTGAGAGTATGCAGGGTGACTGAGCAGTAGGGAAAATCAAGCAATTCTAGTAGAATACTAAGTCAGAAATATCTATCACAACAGCATCAGAGTAGGTACTTTTGGCACTGGTAATAAATAAATTAAAATACCTATTATGATGCTGTTGTGATTGATACTTCTGTCTTATTATTCTATAAATATCCCTATATTGATGAAAGTCACATGTCATATTATTCTTATGATATCCATATATTAATCAAAGTAACATGTCATATTATTCTCATATCCATCTATTGATGATAATTTTTCATACTTCGGTGTATATATATCACCATTTCCTGGGCAAGGATGGGCTAATAAATATCACCAGTTAAGTTGACTGTTAAGGGTTATAAAACTTCTATACGGTTGTTCATGGGAGACAGTGTATGATATGATACATTTAATAATTGGGTTCATCATGCAACATTAACCCCAGCACACCAGCTAGTTATAAACCCATCACTTGAAAACACTATATACTTACTTGCCAAAGAAGCGTTTGAGGCCCTTCTTTTTCTTCACCTCTGATGGTATGTCTGATGCCATGCCTACGTGTTGGAGTCCGTCTTCGTCGTCAGTCACTACCTCGGTATGAGCTGAAAGTGTGTACAACAGGAAACCCACATCAACAAATTATACAGTGACTGTCCTATACTACACTACAGTATTCTACATCAGCTTGATAAGACAACGCAGAACACCTCAATATCCGTCCATCATACAAGTATATCAGCTGACACTGATTTCACAAGTGCAAAAATTCCTATACATGTGTGCATTAAATATCTAGATTTTCTAACTATGTTTTATAGTCTAGACCTGGCAGAAAACTCCTACATATGTTTATAAGTCATATAGTTATCCCTTGTTTACAGATGCCACAGCAGTGTTTACAGTCTGGTGAAATGTCTCTCAACATTGTACATATATCCCTATAGATATAGTGAAATAGACAAAAACAAATCAACAAGACCAAGCAAAACAAAGTAACAGATCAAATCTGGTAATTCAGTTTATCCATTCTAAGGAATATGTATGCAGGTCTGGTGAAGACAAATGATATTCAGTGCTAGGCCCTTTCAGGTCATTCTGCACAGTGACCAGACAGATGATACTCAAAGCTAGGCCCCATTAGGTCACTCTGCACAGTGACTAGGCAGGTGATACTCAGAGCTAGGCCCTATTTGGTCAATCTGCATAGTGACCAGACAGATGATACTCAAAGCTAGGCCCCATTAGGTCACTCTGCACAGTGACCAGGCAGGTGATACTCAGAGCTAGGCCCTATTTGGTCAATCTGCATAGTGACCAGGCAGGTGATACTCAGAGCTAGGCCCTCTTAGGTCACTCTGCATAGTGACCAGGCAGGTGATACTCAGAGCTAGGCCCTCTTAGGTCACTCTGCATAGTGACCAGGCAGGTGATACTCAGAGCTAGGCCCTCTTAGGTCACTCTGCACTGTTACTGTATAAAAGAAAAAAAACAGTGGTACTATTATCATTACAAACCCTGACCTTTGACCAGTATCTTATCACAAACAATACAGTCTTTGTTACTTGTTGAAGTAAATCATATATCTGTGTGCTTTTAGGGAGTGAATCATTTTAGTATACATGAAGAGTCAACCCTGTTCAGTACTTTATGTGTGTACATCACAATGAATCAAATCAGAATTTGGTTGCTGTGATATAATCCTGAATTCATTCAATATATACTGTGGGATTTTCACTCTTGATGTCACTATGATTTTTAATATATCGTGCTTAATAGCTTGTAAAATAAAATGGGGATCATTTCAAAATCTTATTTTTGGTTTCATAATGTAAACTGGGAAATGTCTTTAAGACATAAACACTCTCTGTTTGTTAGAATTCTTTACAGTTGACTTTGTTGTGAGGTTGATAAAGAAATGAAATTATTAGACTGATGTCATTTAATGAGCCCATGACTTTCTTTAATTAGTTTGACCTTGACCTTGAATCCCTGGAATACAAACATCTCTATGGCATAACCATTGTAAACCATTGAACCTAACATTTATTTTGCTTGGTCTTGTCTGACAGTACATACACGGTTAAAATGTCGTGATGATGTTAATATCTGGCCATCACACCATGTTAGTCATAAGGTGTCTAGTAAATCATTTATAACCACACTAGACAGGGTTTATAAACACTGCAGTTTTACATACAACATATTAATCTTAGTACAACAAATTTTGTAAGAGTTCGCAACAAATTAGACAACATTCTCTGAGAAATAATTATACACAATAGACAAAACAAGTTTTAACCTTGTCCTAATTAAACACAATAAAGTTTATATGGTCATTTGTAATCCAGGAAACACTTTCAGAAGCACTTATCTCGATGTTTCATTCAAAATAATTTTTTCATTAATTTTAACACTTTTCATAATTTATACTGAAGTTATTGAAGTGTTTTTCAGAAAAGCAGGTGTCCATATGCACAAAATTTTAATGTAAAAGCATTATTTTACAAGTAAAAAGTAAACAGTTACACCCTGATAATAATAAAGAACATTTTTGTTACTTGGTTCTGAGATCCCAAATTACATGTACCCAAAAACATCCAAAACTTAATTTCTGATAGCATAATTTTAAATGAAACTTATATTGGGAAATTTGAGATCACAGACACATTTAGAAATCAGAATACATGCATGTTCCTGTTATCGACATTTGTAATGTTGTAGGGATGCAGGTGTTACATTGCCATGGTAACACACAGGTGTAACATCTCATTAGGGTCAAAGTGAGTCAAGCAATATCAACAGAATGGTTGATGTAAGGAGTACATTATTAAAGGCCACAAGCTTAAGTAATTAACCGGGTTAATTAAAGATGCATATATCTGGTCAGGCCAAACAGGATCAGTTGGTTACAAAGGAAGGAGATATGGACTTCAAAATGTAAACCATCCCAACAGTAGTACACACATACATTGGAGACATGTATACATTTTAACATGTAATACACCTAAACAAAGTCAGGAGGTATATATGATAGTAAATTGAATAATACAAATGGCAAGTCCTAAAAAGAACAAATACATAACATATATAAACATATATTTATCTACTTAATACAAACTGCTGTTAACAAAATTTACACTGAGGCTTGGCTACCACTATCACATATCCAAGAAACAGCATGGAATATGAAACAGTAAAGGAGTACTCTGCAGTAAATAGGTAAACATTGTTTCAGTGCTAATTTCATGTAATTTTTTCCCTAAATAATTAACAGTAGTCTTTCCTCCAGCATGTAGGTCTGTATTGATTATGCATCATCCCCAGTTAGAACATCCCCTAACAAATATCAAAGTGTACTTGATATTACCATGGAATGTAAAATAACTCTTAACATTAATCTCAAACCAAATCAGATACTGATTTATAGACAACCAGGCATTTTTTTTATCAATACTTTTCCAATCATCTAGCTATGTATATAGAACAGCCCGACTACTAACCTGCCGAGTTAGTCAGCACCTTCAGTCACTTTATAATTACCATGTTAACCTTATTACATAATTCCAACTTAGTCTTAGAACAGCCTAAACAAGTACTCTATCTTAGGACAGACACAAGCCTCAAGATAGCATAAAGAAGTACTCTGTTTCAGGACTGACACAAGTCAGAAGAAATCATCAAATTAATAGTTCTGTCTTAGGATAACATCTAAAAGTATTTCTTAGGACAGACATACCAAACAGACCAAAGATAACATCAAAAAGTACTCTGTCCTGGGACAGCCACAAGCCTCAAGATAGCATCAAGAATTACTCTGTCTTAGGACAGACACAAGGCTGAAGATAACATCAAAAAGTACTCTGTCTTAGGGCTGTCTGCCTGAAGATAACATCAAGAAGTACTCTGTCCTAGGACAGAAACAAGCCTCAAAATAACAAAAAGAAATACTCTGTCCTAGGACAGACACGAGCCTGAAGATAACATCAAGAAGTACTCTGTCCTAGGACAGACACAAGCCTCAAAATAACAAAAAGAAATACTCTGTCCTAGGACAGACACGAGCCTGAAGATAACATCAAGAAGTACTCTGTCCTAGGACAGACACAAGCCTGAAGATAACATGAATTACTTTGTCTTAGGACAGACACAAGCCTGGAGATAACATGAAGAATTACTCTGTCTTAGGACAGACACAAGCCTGGAGATAACATCAAGAAGTACTCTCTCCTAGGACAGACACAAGCCTGGAGATAACATGAAGAATTACTCTGTCTTAGGACAGACACAAACCTAAAGATAACATAAAGAATTCTCTGTCTTAGGACAGACACAAGCCTGAAGATTAGATGTGTAAACTCACCATGGAAGCCACAACACAATGATTCATGTAGAGTTATACATCTCAGAAACTGTCCATAACCTCATACCGGGTTTCCACATCAACACTTTATCTTTCTTACTGCCTGTCTATTGTACCCAGCATCCAGATTTAATTTGATGTGTAGTTCAAGCTTGGCCAGTAACTTGCCAGCCCACAAATAAATAGCACTTGGGGAAAGTAACTCTGTGCTCTATTAACAACTTGAAATATCTGTTTAGGCTTTCGGCCACCTGTTCAGTTGTTTAAAACTTCAACATAACATTACTTTAGTCTTTGTTTTAATACTCTAAGTAAATGTATCCTTCCTGTTGTTATTAAACACTGGCCATACCAGAGCCCTGACAATCTTAAACCAGATTCAACAAGCTGTACAGGCTGAAAAGAGAAATGCCCCCCACAAGATGTTCTCAACTAATTTATGTATACATGAAATTCTATCTATTTGAAAAAAGGCAAATAAATTAAACTAATTTTCAGTTGCTCTGAAGTAGTAGTTTTATCTCATAATCAGAAAACTGGCATCTGCCCTTTTCCTAAATATTTTTTTGTAACCAAGCAACCAGTTATGTTCCTTGGCAATGGGGATGTATTATCCTTCAGATGGGCTTCATTCAAACAACTCTCCCAAAATAGGTCGTATTTAACAAGTCATGCTACACATATAATAATGAAGGAAATTAAAAGTTGATTTTAAAGGATAATATATGAAATGTAAGATATACAAGGTGAGAATTTATATTTAGTGTCTGGTTATCATACCTGGGTCAGGTAACCATTAATCAATAACAGTAAAGAATTTAAAGTATCCGTTTTAAACACTATCTTACTACTTCAATATTATCATCAATTTTAGCCGTTTGATTTAGCATGTACCTTTACCATTGTTACAAGACCAGTGGTGAGATCCAGAGACAGCCTGGAGCAGCAAGCTGAACAAAGAGACTAACTAGGTCATTTTTGGTTATTCCCTGTCTAAAAAGCGAGGCACTTGCAGCAGAAAGAAATATGCAATCAAGATTTGTGAAGAAATATCCTTTAGGTTGATAAAATTTTATACTAACTTTGATAAATCATACAGGGATCTGATTTCTTTTCTGTCCATTTAAGTATATGTTTTTAAAATGAGTAAAATAAAAATGATTTTTTGGTACAACTCTGATAAAGGACTGTATCCTGGTATCTATAATTACAAGTCTATCCCCATGTATGGGTGAAACAAGATACAAACTAAGTCCTGTTATCAATGTTTCCTACACCAGAGATTCCTGATTTAACACAGTAACCAAGGAGATAATTAAATAATCATCATTGATTACTTTCCCCGCCCTCCTGATCTTCCCTTACCATTTTTATGTAGATAATAAACACTTCTCTACAGGACTCTTGAAAAATCATTATTTTTTTGTGTTTTTCCTGGTTTTTGGTTTGCCATTTTTGATTCATTGATACCAAGAGGTTGAGTCATTTCCTCCCTTGGACTGATAAGTTATCTCCTGACATGTACATTATATACCATCACATCAGCCAATGATAAGGACTAATCTGTTAAAGCATTAATATGCTATCTCACTGGGAAAAAACCTAGACTCAATGCCAGTATAATGTGCATGATTAGGGAATACAGGGGTTGTATAATTTGATTTAGGAGAGAAAGTTGATCGGCAGGTCTGTGGCATGTTTTACTTTAGAGATAAACATGATAATATTAAATATTCAGGAGGAAGCAGGTCCCTCGGGCATTCGAGTTCCAGTTTATAAAACTTATCAGCAAATATCAAATTCTGTTGATGAAATACATCATGAATAAAAGATTGTATGTAAATAAACTTTCTGTTTATGTCTCCTTTAGAGCTTAGCTGCTGCTGAAAATTACTGATAACAGTTCAGGATTAACAGGATTTCTGGATTAAGTTTCCATACAAGATTGAGAATTAATCATGACATAAGATTGTGGATTTATCCTGACATAGGATTTTGGATTAATGTCAATATAGAACTGTGAATTGATTGTGACATATGACACTGGATTCATCTCGACACAAAATCATGGATTAATCTTGACATATAGCTAGATTTATCTTGACATAGGATTGTGGATTAATGTCAACATAGGACTGTGGATTAATCTTGACATATTATGACTCTGGATTCATCTTGACATAGGATTGTAAATTAATGTCGACATAGGATTGTGGATTAATCACCAAATAGGACTTTGTATTATTCTCCTTACAAGACTGTAGATAAATCACAATACAGAACTGGTCCACTCGTAAAGCTAACTTAACACAAACAGATAGCATCCATATGGATATATAATGTGGATCACTGAAACATTATTGAACATGATTGGTCTGAAAATAGTTCAGATCAAAATCTCATCTAGGTAATCCTTACACTGGTGAGATAGAGATTATTCAAATGCATTTTTTAAGCACAAGTGGAAAATGCCTATAAATAATGATTATCTCCCTTGTACTACAAACTACATACACCTTGCATCGGTTATCATACCCATTTCCTAATAAAGCTTAAACAAATGTTTGCTGATACAACAGATTAGAGAAGTATTGATATGTCTGGCAGAAGAGCTAGAAAGGGATGGTACATTGGTTAATAATGAATGTTGTTTCATGCTACCTGGAGATTCTAATCTGAAAAGCTTGTTCCTCATGCAAGCCTTCATCACTTACCTAACTCTCGGGTTTCTTTAATATATGTACACACAGTTAACCAGCCATATACATCAATACGGCACAATCCATCATTTATTAATATAACCTTTGATAATAATCTCTTTCTCTAATTTCACTTGATCATATCTCTAACTTACAAAAAATAGTGATAAAATTTTTACTCAGATGATTTACATTTAGAAATTATAATGGTAATATGGATCAACATATGTTTTTAATCACAATGAACAACAATATATCTTGAGAGAAAGTATTAGAAATATTATTAGATAACAGAATTATGAAATAAAACTTGTCACCAGCACTATGTCTAAATGCAGGAGGAGGATTTCTAGCCTTAATTGACAGCAGCCACAAGCCACTTGCTTTAGAGAATGTTGTTCAAGCCTATAGCAATGCAAAATTGTGACATCTTGTTTCGCATCTTGCAAGAAAGAATTGTGACACCAATCACATACATTTATATAACAGATACATAGGAAAGCATCTAATTCACAAGACTGTCACATCTCTCCCTTAAAACATTAAATTGATTATTTTTTCACTGCAATTAAAGCTGGCTCAAATAGAGGAATTCCATGGTCCTACAGGCAGAAGAGCATTTTAAACAATAAAAAGATTATTTTTACTGCATCTTAAGCTAGCTGATACTGAGGAATTGTGTAATTCTGGAGCAATGAGCATTTTTAAAAGCGAGGATATTTAATAAAGACTGTAAATATTGCAAAGCAGGCATTTAAGATTTCATAACAGGAAATACAGTTTAGTTCATTCTTGTTAAGTTTTAAAATTTAAACGGTATCTGGGTATTGGGAATCTTAATTCAAATTATCCTGGGTACAGGCCAACATAATGTAGATCACCATCATATGTGTAGCATGCTAATGCTTTCATCCCAGTCCAGTCTTTAACGACTTGGTGTAAGGAAGGTATATGGTTCCATGCATTAAGTAGGATAAATACTTGTATATTAGATTAACGGAGCTGTTAATTTTGGGAAAATAAAGAAATAATTTCTTGGAAAGGAGTATACTTTTCCCAAAGACGGATACATTTCTTTCCATGCTTTTCTATACACTTATCTAGATTTTACAGGCACGTTCTCAATAGTTGTATTCCCGTCACCTAGGTTTGGGGCGGAGGTACTCCTTTTGCCTGTTTTGACCCGAAACAGAGATTTGCCCAGACTCGGGAACCCCCTAGACTTTCGCACTTCTGTGTGATCCAAGTCCGCGCTCTGAACACGATCTTTAGGTAACGTACCAAAACTATTGTTGTTACTCCCGTTACTGTAGCCTTCGTGGTGATTGTTGTTTGAAACTGTCTTTTTCTGAAACGGAGAGAAACAACCATGATAAATGTTTACAGTATTCAGAATTTGAATTTTAAAAATGTTTTCAAATGTCAATATATGGTCTTGATTTATTATAAATTTGTGAGCCTAAATCTGATCTAACCTTGTACTTTTCAAACAACTTGATCTTGTAACAAGTCTTGAACACACCATCATCTCACGTTTGAAGCCTATTGCAACAATACCATCTGATGTTAACTATGTCACATCAATACCCATTGGAAGTGTAAGTAAGTACATTTTATTATTTAATACCGTTCATTAAACCATGCCTCAAGAAGAAGTGGAATACAGTTTACCACCAATGTCTACATCTATATGATAAAAACTTTTCTGGACTTCACTGTTGGATGCTACTCTCTCTATACAAGAGTACATAACATGTTTCTGTTTAATATCTCTACTTTCAAGTTATTTTTGTAAATCTATCTTTGACTCAATTATATATGAAATCTACAGATTTGTGCCTTAATATTCTTTTCTACCTATGTTTGTAGCTGAGGTTGATACCTACATTTTGATTGGTGAGTTTTTTCCTATGTTTGTATTTGTAGCTGTTACTTACGATTTGATTGGTTAGGTTTTTTCCTATATTTGTATTTGTGGGTGTTACCTGTGTTTTGATTGATTAATGTTATCCTGATGTCTACTCCTGGATGCTACCTACTTTTTGATTGGTGGGTGTGACATCCTCTGCACTGTTTGACCGCTGTATGCCAGGCATTCTGTGGGAGGGGGTAGACATCTGACTGGACGGTGAGGGTGTGTGGTTTCCATTGTCCAGGTAAGAGTGGACTGTAAAAGATACACAAGCTTATCACAAGGGAGGCAACTCTTTAAACATATTACGTCAAAAAAAAAAAAAATTGGTAAGACTGTTTAATTATAATTAAAATTGCCATTTTCTTTTTGTCTTTTTCTTTTAAAAAAAAAAATGAAAAACATTGGTAACAATTAATCTTTTGTTTAATCTGTTTTTTTTCCAATAATAATGTATTGATACAAAAACATTCATGATAACCAGTATTACAGATCTAAGTATTTTGTTGTTGGGTCCTTGTTTCTTTGTCAATTGAAAGATCTTCACTTACCTGGAGTACTTGTGGCACTTGGGTGGTGTCTATCGTAACCATCATGCTGTAAAATATCAACATTTTCTTTTTTTCATATTTCCTAATACAAACATTTATTTCATAAACTGCTTAAGAATGATTACTATATTTTCAGGGTTATAAGATGCACTAGTATATAAGCCACCAATTTTTACTGATTGATTCAATCCTCATGTAAGCCGCACTGGAATGTAAGGTGTACCCTTTTGTACGATATGGTGACAACTACTTTTTTGAATTACTGGTAATATATAACAGAAGGTAGTTCTTATGAAGTGGCAAACTTTACCTTCACCAAAGTTAGTTGATATAACAGACAAAAGAAGTCAATTTATCAAGATCATCAGTGAACCATGAAATAAAGTTTGCAAATGTATCATACACAGATAATCCTTTATTTTATTGATGAATTTTAAAAGATGTAAATTAGCAAATATCCAACTCATTTGGCTTGGGTGTCTTCACAGATTGTCTATGCCCAGATAAAAGGTCTGATGCTATGATGGTTTACTGAACAATATCTCCAGTGTCTGTACTGTTTAGAGATTAACAAAGGCCCTTCCATGCTGATCAAATTCTTATAGTCCCATATCATTTCTTATTGTAAGTTACACAAAGCCATTCATATTGTAAACAAACATAGCAGTTGTTCTAGAATTTAATCTATAATTTGATGCACAAGGCTATTGTAAACTTCTGCTATGGCTTTGAAGTAGCTGTGAAAGTCCAGAAAATATTGTTGTGATTCATATCAGAAGGTTTGATTAATTATTCACGAGAATGTTTTATTTCAATCACCCTGTATACAATTGCAAATGACAGTCCTCGACGATCTGTTTCAGTATTGTGTACTGGTATGCTTCCATTTCCCCATCCCCCCAACCATTTTTGTTTGTCCACATATATAAGCGGCACAGGTATAAAAAAGGTTTGGCTTATAATCTGGAAAATACATAATATCTATGGATACAAATTTCAACTTTAACAAATCTGTAAGCTATGAATAATCACACATTTTAGATATAACCCCCTGGTCCCTGGGGACACTGTCAAGACACACTTTATATATATTCCCCCTGGTCCCTGGGGACACTGTCAAGACACACTTTATATATATTCCCCCTGGTCCCTGGGGACACTGTCAAGACACACTTTAGATATAACCCCCTGGTCCCTGGGGACACTGTCAAGACGCACTCTAGATATAACCCACCTGGTCCCTGGGGACACTGTCAGAAACGGACGGGGTATTAGAACTGGTTGAACTTGTGTCATCCTCTGCATTGATGATCATATCTTCTAAAGCTGTAAACAAATATTTCCTGGTTAATAACATGTCATACATTGTGAAATGGCAAATATAAAAGGCTTCTACCACTGATTATTTTCAATACAAAACAGCCTACCAGTAATTGCTTTCGGTATACTTACCTTTCCTTCCTTGAGCCTGTATCACCATTTCCTCTATTTTTCTGTAACGTTTTAATAATTTTCTTAATTCTTCTATTCTTTTATCCTGAAACAGGAAAAAATATATTAATGTAATTAAAATGAGAACAAAATTATATACCTATACACAGTAAGATAGAGTGTGATAATACAAATATGGTATGTGACAATCAATAGCTATTTTACTTCAGTTAATTTACATATCATTTGTTCCTTTCAAGTTAAGCATTACAGTAATATTTTCTTTCTTTTTATAATTTTTTTTAACTATCTCGTTACCTTTTCCTGGTTAGAGTACATTAAGGCATCTACAGCTTTCTTTAACTTTTCCACTTCATATTCTAAAACAGAAATAATTCATCCATTATCAATTTGAATCTGGTAACAAAGAGAGTGGCCTGTAAACAGACTTATAATACAACGTATTACTGCAGGTTAGGAAATCATAGAACAACAAAAATGAAGCACGTAACATCGCCAACATTGGAGCTGATGCTATCATTACAGAGATATATGAATGTAGCATTAAGGAAAATGATAAAAAATTAGTACTGCTGATAATTTAATGCATAGCATGAATCAAAATGAAATGTAAAGGATATAAATGTAGTAATGAAATATTACTTTTTAAACTCATACCAACAATGCAACTTAAATCAAACACGAAAACAAAACAAGTGTGCCATGTCCCTTAGCCGACATGATTTGAAATAAGTTAAAAGGAAAAAAAGAAAAAAAGCATGCAAACCATTCAAATCAGTCTTCAAATGCTGGCCATAATTTCAATGTCAAAATGTCAATTCAATAAATAAAAATTTTAGGAAAATGAAAGAGAATATTTGGTGTAGGAATTACGACCAACGATTGAATGCTATATAGCAGTGAAACAGATATATAATAATACCATGCAGTTTATCATTCTTCCCCATCTCATCGTTTACCTGTCAAAACAAGCTCTAACTCTTACTACCTATCCTGATACACAAGTTGTTCATTTCCCTCAACCAAACAGATATTTTGGAGAAACGACACAAACATATTGTTTAAAGTTATTTCACTCTAACTCTGAATTGATACAATAGATATTAATAAGAAGCAACCTATATGAGACAAGGATGGGTATACTACCGTTACATAATTGTGTTTATAATCTGTTTAATGGAGGATAAATATTGGTACCGAAGTTCTGCTTATATATACATGTATAACTTACACAGGAGTTTTGAAAAAGACATTTTTGTACTCATTGCTTCAATCTTTGTTTAAATATTGAGAGTACAGTGACTCAATATATTGTCAGGAGAGGACTTGTCCTGAGGCTGATACTAAAGGTATTAATATTGTGAAATGATCGTCATGTCTTCTAGCAACAACAATGGAACTACTTAGTAATGAAAAGGAATTATAGTGTAATAATAATGGTATAATTGATGACAATGGCATGTATATGTAATGATGATGAGGATATATGTGATGATGATGAGGGTGTATGTGATGATGATGATGATGATGAGGATATATGTGATGATGATGAGGGTGTATGTGATGATGACGACGACGACGACGGCGACGACGAAGACGATGATGATGTAAATGTACAAGACGTATGTAATAAATAAATAATTGTAATGGAAGACATTTTTGTGAAACTGTTTCTCCTGAAAGGGGAACTAATATGATGAGAGTATATATTTAGATGGATGGTTAATCTAAAACCTCAAATTACCACATTAAAGTAGCAACAGTATCTCTGATAATGCTGAGATGTGACAATCATGAAAAATTTGAAAATGACAAATTCACAATGACGTAACATGGCAATAGCTCCAATAACTATGGCAAGATGCAAAGGAGAGAAGTGACAATATGGAGATGTGATAGGGAGATGTGACAATATGGAGATGTGATAGGGAGATGTGACAATATGGAGAAGTGATAGGGATATGTGACAATATGGAGATGTGATGGTATGATGTGACAATATGGAGATGTGATAGGGAGATGTGACAATATGGAGATGTGATAGGGATATGTGACAATATGGAGATTTGATAGGGAGATATGACAATATGGAGACGTGATAGGGAGATGTGACAATATGGAGATGTGATAGGGAGATGGGACAATATGGAGATGTGATAGGGAGATGTGACAATATGGAGATGTGATAGGGAGATGTGACAATATGGAGATGTGATGATAAAATGTGACAAAGTGAAGATGTGTTAGAGAGATATGACAATGTAGAGATGTTCAGATGGTTGAATGCAACATCAGAGTAAGATGTGAAAATGTGGAGAACTGATGGTATGATGTGACAATGTGGAGATGTGATTGTGAGATGTGACAAAGTGTAGATGTGTTAGAGAGATATGACAATGTGGAGATGTTCAGATGGTTGAATGCAACATCATAGTAAGATGTGAAAATGTGGAGAACTGATGGTATGATGTGACAATGTGGAGATGTGATTGTGAGATGTGACAAAGTGTAGATGTGTTAGAGAGATATGATGTGGAGATGTTCAGATGGTTGAATGCAACATCATAGTAAGATGTGAAAATTTGAGATGCCACAATGAGAACAAAAACAGATAAAACAGAGTTACTGAAAGTGGAAAAGTGGAAAAAAGAATGGTACTAATATATGGTGTGCCATTTCTACAGTGTAATGGTGATAACATATAATAGGCCTCTAATGGTACAGCAATGATATGATTACTTAATATAGTTGTGGTACAGAGCAGACTAATTCTGAATGTCACTAGCTAGTTGTGTATGCAGGTCGACCGTGTGGACGACACAGAATTACCATGGTCAGGTGGAAAGTGTTTCACTTACCCCATGGTAACACCCTACGTCTATGAGCTGCTTGAAACAAAAAAATCTACATATAAGAATGCTAGAAATGAAAATAGGAATAAAAACTAATAGTATGCATCAATCACGTGCAGTAATGGCTTTCTTGTGATTTTGTTTTGACTAGAAATATTTCAAAATCATTCAGTATGAAAGCTATCATGCCTCTAATCTCTGGTTATGTAAGGTTTTCTCATTCCTGTCAACCTGATGATCAAACAAGAAGTAATACGTTGCTGATACTGTTGGACTGCACATTAGTCAGAGGACCATGAAGTGTATGTCGTTTCTGTAGTCAATGAATGATGAAGCGTTTTGTCATTTCTGTAGTCTAGGGATGATGAAGTGTTTGTCGTTTCTGTAGTCTAGGGATGATGAAGTGTTTGTCGTTTCTGTAGTCTAGGGATGATGAAGTGTATGTCGTTTCTGTAGTCAAGGGATGATGAAGTGTATGTCATTTCTGTAGTCTAGGGATGATAAAGTGTATGTTGTTTCTGTAGTCAAGGGATGATGAAGTGTTTGTCGTTTCTGTAGTCAAAGGATCAACAGGCATTTGTCTTTTCTGTAGTCATGGGATCATTTAGTGTTTGTCTTTTCTGTAAGTCATTTGCCTGTTTTAGTAACATTTTCAATGTAGCCTTAATAACAGATAGAAGTCTATGATTCCTCAATGTTTAAATCCAGCATTGAAGAATACTGTACTAATACCCTTATATCCAATGTAGGTCACTGTGAACTCTATTTGCCATTTGATGAAGTTTGGTTTCCATTTAGTTCAAATTCCATCAAGCAGGAGTAGGGGAGTTTTCTACAAACATATCTAGGAAGACAGGACTTTTTTGTACCTAATAATATAGATATATAATAAATACTATGGATCTGTTTAAAATTTACATGTTAACAAATCAATATTATAGTTCTTTCAAGTATAAGCTTTTTTTACAGAATTCATCTAAGGGGCCTGTATTGCTAGAAAACTCTGGGGTGAAAAGAAAAGTTATTTTTTTGTAATTTATTTATCAGATTATTTATAATACAATAATAAAGTCTAACATTGTTTAACATATGTCTGTTGAATACTCCCTTGAAGGCATGATCAAAAATTAATATGTGAATACAGTATTTTCTTGCAGCTGTCCTCTGGAATATGTTAATCCTAACTCTGTGAGTGAAGACATGCTTGTTTCCAGAACTAAGTCACTGAAAGCCTCAGACCAGGACTATCCAAGAGTAATGAACTATGATAATCAAATAACCCGACCAGAAACATACTTTCAAAAATATTTTAAAGGCTCATCAAAGCTATTAACTTTATGGTGACTGAGGGTTAAGTTATTATCTCAAGATTTAAACAAGACAAAGAGAAATGGTTAAAGCAGAAAAAATGATGTCTGCATCTATTTTTTGGTGTATCTTTCATAAAACTTTGTCGATTTGGGAGATTTACTTAACAGCTTGGTCAATGATGTACTCTTTATTATATATTTTTATCACTACCAAGTACTATCAAATCATTTTATGTTTTCTGGTTAATGACTCCTTTTACATGTCCAATTATAGAAAGTATCTTTGAGGACCAAATTGAAACAAAAATGAAATCTCCCTCTACAATATTAGGCATTTCCTTCTACATTTAAAGGTCGGTCAACAAGCCCACACCAAACAGGTTAGATCTGGGTAACAAGAATGGAATTAGTATGCTTCCAGGAAAGTCAAAATGGTTGGTGGAAAAAAATTTGGTCAGCAGGCTACCAAAGTTGTCTCTTACGCTTGCGTTTTAGTCTATCTAATGTTTTCTCTTTCTCTACAGGGCGGTCACTAACACTGAGTAGAGACTCAGATCCTGAAAACAAACCGACAAGGAAAGATAATCTGGGTTTCTTTATCACACTTTTCAGTGACTTTTGAGTCAAACTTTTACAAACATTAAACAACCAAGATAGCCTTATATTTTTTCCCTTTGTTTTGTGTTTCAGTTTTGATCTAACAAACATGGTACTTGAATACTGATCACGGCACAACATCAACTTTGAGGGCTTAAAGAACAAAGGTAAAAGGAGGTGATTCTCTTTGGAAATGACTTCCTACAATTTATACAAAACATGTACATTGACATACATGTGTATAACAGAATGGTGAACATATTTTCTTTATTTGGCATATTAGAAAATGTTCTTACTGGTTCTGATATACTATAATCTATGCTTATGAAATTAATACATTAACAATTACCTGTTTTGTGAACTGAGTATACTACTATTATAATATGTTGCATACTGAAATGGGAGTTTATTCACTTTTTTCTCTCGTTCTCCTACATTCAATATATCACAGGATATGGAAAACAGAAGCTAAATAGACAGAGAAATACTGATGCAAATTAAGACAAACATTAAAATACTGATCAGATAAAGGACCAGTAGATGCAAATTTTATCTGATGAAACCTTAGAATTCATCAAAATAAAATGTTAATCAGAAAAAGAAGCCATTTCAAGCCAGAACATTTTGCCATTACAAAAGATAAACAACGATTGGCAACAACGAGCAACAGAATGGAGCTAAAAATCATCTAAACTTTGAAGCAAGCCATTTATTATCATTTCAAGGAAGCAAATGTAAAACTGAAATGGTTAAATGTGATTGGCACTGCAAACAAAAGAGTGTGAAGAGTTATCTCCCAATTAGTTCATTTTGGATTATCTCCCTTCTCAGGAAAATCTGTTTGCCCCCAGTCATTTCTTATTTACATATATAAACCTATAATCAACCATGTATTCACATTGTTCTAGTAACTGTTGAACTAGCCTAGAATTATTTGGTAGTGTAACGTACCGTTGGAGTCAGGAGTCAGCACAGTACCATTGCGCACCAGTCGTTGACGAAGCTCTGTGATCTCTGCATCTCGTAAGGCCAACTTGGATTCCACTTCCTTAATCTGTCTCTATTATTGTAATAAAAATTGTTTTGTTGGATATTTATTGATATTATATCTTATCAATCGTTGTCTACAAATCTAACATTTCTTGTATATGAAATTCTACCATTCAAAATTTATGCCTCCAAACAATTGAAAAAGGTACATTAAGCTCATTCTTAATTTTTTTTATTACTTACACATGTTGATACTTTCATTACAGAAAAAAAACCCTGGCAATTTAATTATATTGAAATTGCCTAACTTCTTTGAAACTACATGTGTACAATCAATTTATGTAGAATCTGTGTGGAACAAAGAGGTTGATGCACTATACAGAGTCAAGATAACAAAATAATGGTCTGGCTTACTTTGCAGGAAAATATATTAAGCTCAATTTCATTGTGATATACTGTTCATGTAACAGTACTGACTTTCTACCAGGAACCGGTAAACATGTTGGATTCTGGGCCTAACACATTGTAATGCACTGAACAGAAATAGTAATCTATTTCAAAATGAAAGTAAGATTTTCCATGTAGTATTGAAATGATCAGACCATTGTATATACAGCAAACCAAATATCTTAAACCTTTCCTAAGGTACATATTTATTATCGGGATGATTACAAACATCTGCAAGTAATTTTTCTTAACCAAATATACATCCATGACATTTTAATCTTAATTCATATACATTCATTTAATTAAATACAATTGACAATTGAATTAAATGTGAGTTATCCAATCAGATTCCTGGTCACAAATGTTTTTCATCACTTCTTATCTAACTGAAGACTCTTTTATTATGACAGAGACTACCATATGCTATCAAAGATATGGAAAAAAAACGTATTTCATATATTTTTCCAGAATGTGCCAAGAACAATAATTTCATTATATAACAACTGTGTCAATGTATCCAGGCCACTGCTTGTCTGTAAAATGATCATAAAGAACACATTCTGTATAATAAACTAGTAAACTTCCATGTAAACAGCTGCCAATTCCCCTGATGAAATTTAGGAATGTAACTTAGTCTTCGGTGAAAGTTATTTAGTCTTTGCCGGCACTAAATGAACTCTATCTTCATAGGCCTTTAATATTCCAACGCAATACACAAAACTTAAAAATATTAGTTACTGTGCACTTTGTGTTCATATGATAATTTTTATTTACGTTGGTTCTACAATTTCATCATTCCTTCATACAAGTACCATTAACAATTCTACTATACAAGAATAAACTGCCACAACACATAACTGTCTTGTGGTTGGGTAGTGCGATGTTAAAGCCCACATCTTTCATCAAGAAGACCCGGGTTCTATTCTCTGGATGTTCCTGTACTGAATTTTTCCCACAGTAAGGTCCATCTTGCACTTATTATTTGTGTAAATGAGATTGATAAATATAAGCTGATATCACTTGTTTCAAAATTGTTTAGGAATCAATAAAGTGTATTTTTCTAAACAAGTATCTCTAAGAATGTAGCTGTACACTTGTTTTTCCCCTCCATCAGTATGACTCTTGAGATGAGTAAGAGAGAGGACAGTTGACAGAATGTGGCAGAGAGCTAGACAAGTACTACTTCAACATATCTTGCCTGACACTTCATGGAGTACACACCACTTCACTATATGCTTGGAACATTTCACTTCATTACAACACACAAGTACTTTCTCTCTCTAAATTTATAAGATCTGAGATGATACGTCCAGTGCTTGTAACAAAGTCTTGCTAAAATTAAGACAAATATCAAACAAAATTTCCTGAACTTATATAAAATGGAAATAGAAACAAGTAAACAACTCTGCCAAACAAATAAAAAAAAAAGGCATTTTTTATCAAGTCGCATTTTATCTTTATGCTTACTTGTTTCCATTTGGTGGTTAAAGACCTATCTACTTATATGTGAGGTTTTCAAAAAGCTAGTGAAATATATACACTTCACAGTATACTATTAATAATGTAAGTCTTATTTTGAGACTGAAATAAAAAAAGTGTTTAACAGTTAATGAGTAAAAAAATGCTAATTTTAACAATCTAAACACACAATAAATTATTACCTGTGAAATTTTTAGTCGGTCATCAAGGTCCCTCCTGTCCTTGTCAGAAGAGGCTAGCTTGATCTTGAGGCTGGATATTTCCGCCATCATGTCTAGTTTGTGCGTCTCAAGTGACGTCCGCGTCAGGAGTTCCTACAAAATAAACATGGTGTGAGAATATATACCCAGATGTTATAATTATCTGAAAACATAGAGATAAGCATAGAAACTAAATAACCACAACAAGCAGCAGATACTCCACATATACCTCTGGGATTTGAAACCATCTTACATCCACGGTAAACAATAATACGAAGACCTTTCTTTAATTGCTGATTTGATCTAACATTACTTTACAATATTTCCTATTCTTCCTGGACTCACTTCTTACCTTTCTTATCCACCCTTAACTTATCTCCCTACTTTTCTTATTCTTCCTTGACTTATCCTACATATTCCTTCCTATTCCTCCTTGACTTAGTTCCTACATATGCCTTCCTATTCCTCCTTGACTTAGTTCCTACATATTCCTTCCTATTCCTCCTTGACTTAGTTCCTACATATTCCTTCCTATTCCTCCTTGACTTATTTCCTACATATTCCTTCCTATTCCTCCTTGACTTAGTTCCTACATATTCCTTCCTATTCCTCCTTGACTTAGTTCCTACATATTCCTTCCTATTCCTCCTTGACTTAGTTCCTACATATTCCTTCCTATTCCTCCTTGACTTAGTTCCTACATATTCCTTCCTATTCCTCCTTGACTTAGTTCCTACATATTCCTTCCTATTCCTCCTTGACTTAGGTTCATATGCCTACATATTCCTTCCTATTCTTCCTACATATTCCTACCTATTCCTCCTTGACTTATTTCCTACATATTCCTTCCTATTCATCCTAGACTAAGGTTCTACCTGAACCTTCTTATTCATCCTGGACTTATTTTTCTACATATGCCTTCCTATTCCTCCTTGACTGAAAGCAGTGGAAATCCATAAAAGATGTAATCAATACCTACTTCATTACCTAACTACCCAGACTTTGTGTACAATACCAGTTATTGTGAATGTTCAAGGATACAAAGTATATGACAGAATCAATTCATGTAATCTTGTAATGAATTACTGATAAGTAAAAATAGGAAAATAAGTTAATTCTGCTGTTTCCCAAAAAATAAATAATTGACTCTTGCTTCAGAAAGGAATGCATATATAAATGTGTATGATGTTCTTTCAAGTTGGAGTGTTTTCAAAAAATGAAATTGGACAAAATCCTAGTTCTGCACGCAGTACAGGAAACAACCTTCTGATAAAACATGTAAAAATATCCTGAATCGATAAAGCAGATATTAAAGTAAAAAACAAATATAACAGGTATATATAGCACACGATCCTATATTAAATGGGGTCCCTCACAGCATTAGAACCTCCACTGGCACATGACCATGTACTTCTTTTTCACATATACTTGTACCTTTATATCAACATATAACACAAACTGTATCAGGCAATAAAGGTGTAACTATAGCTTAAGGTTGCTGTTCATTTTAGGAATTAAAAAGACCAAACAGAAAAAAAAAAAAAAAAAACAGAAAAAGAACTGTATTTGATCCCACAAATTTAACAAATCTTCAAATACATCATACTCTTCATGGAAGATCATTCATTCCTCAAAATATAGGTCCCATGTCAGAGTTTGGAGTCAGAGATAGGGTCACTTTCAAAATAAATATTTGAATAAAGGTGGATGTCCTGTTATAATATTTCAATTTAATTAAGGAAGTTAATGACCTCAGGGATTTGATCACGATTCCTGTCAGAAATTGGCCCCTTGAATGAGGTACTGGCTGGATAAGAGATGGAATTATGACCTATCTGTGTATCTCATTCACTTATAAATGGGGTTCCTTGTTACAGGTTGTCTCCCCCTGAGATATCTTCTGGGTTCAGAGACCCAGGATTGATGACTGTCAGGATAAGAGATCATGAAGCCATGCTTGTTTATACAATATCATATTATCCCTATAGAGATAATGTGTAAAACAAATAAGCACTACAATGTTTGGGGTCCAAGATGATTCTGGGGTGTCTGGTATCTCCTTGCAATGTGGGTGTACAGAATGTTGTCTTTAGTGGGGAAAGGTGGTGCAGATGTCCATAGATAGCAGAAGGGTGGGAGCTTTATATAGGTACATATAGGACAAGAAAGAACAAAGTGGAAAAATATATTTAGTTTATCTGCATCATATATAAGAAATGTAAAAGCATGGATTATGGGAAATGGCAAGGTGAGTCAGTACACTAATTGTGCATTAATATCCAATCACCATAAAATAGATGCATATAAGAATGGATTGTGAAAGAATCATAGAGTAAATATTTCCTTCAAATGAGAATTGGTAAAACAATATCACTTACTGGTACAAAGACATGAAGCACTGATGAATGAGAGACTAAGCACCTGGTGACCAACAGGAAACTAACTGCCTTCCTTAGTTACAGAACAAGCATACTGCTGTCCAAATCTACCCACAATAACATTATGTACTGTCCATGGTGCTTGAAGCACTGGATCATAACTGTAACTAAAGACAAAATCCTGGGGGTGGTGGAGGATTCAGCCGATAATCATGGCCAGCTGTCAAACAGGAAGACTAAGTCTCCGTATCTACATGTAGTTGAGAAGTAAGATAAATATTGAGAATGAGAGGAGTGCTGGATAATGGAAGTGGTAGCATATACCTGCCTGGGGGGAGTCAGATGAAGGGGTTTGATCAGCTGATAATCAGCAGTCTTACATATCTAAACATTACACAGCTGCATCACAGGACAAAAACTAGAAAAAACCTCCCTGACACAGCTAACTGGTTAGTTTGACTTTTCGGATAGATTCGCTCATTTCTGCATCTCCACAATCTTAAATTGTAAACAGGAATCAGACTTCAAATTTTGATCGCTTAAACATTGGCTTCAAGAGTCTAGACAAGAAAAAGAATAAAGTGATTCTTTGCAAAACTGGTAGGCAGCCAGTATATTGTATAAAGAAAATTTAAGTTACGATAAATGTTATGTGACTATTAAGTTTGTTCCCATATCAAAACTGATCATCCTAGCAAATAGGACAAAAAGCTGTTCAGTGAATTTTTTTGTTGCTTTAATTTTAAAATTATAATGATTTGATTACTTTCTAAGTAAAAAATCTATACCATCCAACTTCTTCATCAATGTTTGTTGGTATAAAAGAATCCAACATGACAGTAGACTGACATTTTTATAGCCTATCATGTCCACTGATCCAAGTCTTTGTAATCTTATAATTACATGCCACAAGTCAGGCAGGAGTTTTTAAGACACATGGTCTTTGTAGCCAACTAAATTAAGTTGTTTCATCAGATATCAGAACTTAATTCAATCACTGACTGTATTCAACATCACAGCTTTCACTGGCTAGGACTAACATCACAGGTAATATTTGTACAACACAAATCTTTTGGAACTGATTGGTCTCCAACTGCATATATTGACAATACCACCCCGTGTCAACAAAGAATGCTGCTGTATTCTATCTCCTCCATCTAGCTACAAACTGTTGTAAAATTCAACTGGTTCTGATCTATATTCAAAGATCACTTTTATCTTGACTGCTATTTTCTCTTACACAACATTATTCTATCAACTATGTAGACCACCTTCAGCGTTACAAAGGATGCAGCAATTTTTGTTGCCCTTTTTTGTCTTTTTTACACCACATAATTAAAATTCTTTTGAGTATGACTGTGTGTAGTTAAAGTTTTGTTACTCTAACAAAACCATGCTTCATGTTCCATGATTCACATGTTAGATCCAGTTCTAATCCTAAAAGAAATTATCCAGGACAACAAATGCTTCACTGGTACAATTAATGTATCAGATAACAAGACAGAAAAAAAAAATGATGCCGTGATGCTTTACCCAAATTTTTTTCTTCTCTTGTATCAATGAAGTTGGCTTAGGGCAGATATTACTCCTAATCAATCGTACAACCTCTAATGACCTTCATCTGACATAATTCTGTCTGATGAGGTGGTAACATGCATGTGGATGGTAACGTCATGCAAATCACTTCCACGCACACAACTTATTATGTTGGAATATGATGAGAAATTGATTTCAAAATGTTAGAAACTGAGTAAGTGACTCATAAAAAGTTCAAAATAACAGAAAAATCCAGTAATTGGTTGACAGTCACTTTGAAGACCACATGAAAGCAATTTTTGTAAAAATTAAAGGTTACAGGTATACTTACCAATAGTTTATGAACATGTTATGATGCAGATCGATCTCCTATAGATCTGTATTAAAAGGTGACTAGTATTCATGAACATATCAATGTTTGTGCTATCATTCATAATTTGCTATCTGAGGAGGCATGTCAATCTTTAAGGATCTGACAAAATCTTTGGCATAATTAAAATCAACATATCAACCACAGTTGGAGTGAGACTGAATTTGAGAGCCTTCTTGACATGTTTAACAGTTCCAAGTATTGCACCTAATGATCAATATGTTCCAAAAGTAATTTGATGTTTAAAAATTTCTATTTTCACATCACAACTGCAAGATTCCATAACAGTCATCATGATGTCAATACGGAACACATCACATATACACAGGTATGGCATATAAGTAATGAAATCAGAACCAGCACCTTGTAGGTTGTGCATGGAGGGATGGACTTATCAAACCTAAATATGCAAACAACCACTTGAGTAAACATCCAAAGTTGTACTGCAGTGGGGGTGTCGTTAAGTACTCCATTGAAAACTTGAAAGGACAAACTAGATGTAGTACCAGCTATAAGTTATGGTTTTGAACTCTATATTTATAGACAGTGTAAAATACCTGTACTTGAAGACATTAATTGATATGGCTACATATTATCGGCTTACTTAAGTATGTTTGTTATGGCTCATTAATGAATTAGGCATTATAGGAGTAAATTATGCAGGGTAAAGCTGATGCCATCAGGATCACAGACACTAATAGAGGAGTGCTGTGACTGCAGTTTAGGTGATCAGACATATACATGATATGCTGTCTTCACAAGAATCCTACATCTTTGGCCAAAACTTGCATATTCTCTTTGAAAATTCTGCCAAATATTAATAGTGACCA